AGGTTATTCAAATATAATGATGTTGACTTTGTTGGACAACATTTCTAATAAAATTTTCTTATAGTCTACTTTAAATTAATATTCTCTTTAATTTTTATATTCTCTTACTTTTTATTGGGAGATTAGAGACATCTTTAATTGACTATGGTAATAACTATGTTATGATGCATAATATTTCCAAAATGAAAATTGATCCATTCAGATTTTCTAGTATTTCATCATATTTCATTCATCAGATGAGTAACATTGTCTATCAGCACACATCCATGACAACCTCAGTTGGTCCTACTGCTTTGTTCCTCCTCATGCTGGTCACATACCTGCTACATCTTCATTCTTCAGTTTGTTGCTTTTATTTCTGCTCATTTCTTATTTAGCCATTCTTCCCTAGACTACTTATATTTATCACCAATAGTTTTGTTTTACCTTATAAATGCTGCACCACTTCTCTCTCTCCCCTTCATTATGTTGACAATTTCATTTGTAATCCACTTCATTTTTCCTTCTCTTTCTTCCATTGAGTTCTTCTTCACAAGTGATTCTCTTAAAGTATTCCATATTGAATCCCCAACTTGTTCTAAAGTATCATATATTTTTCTTAATTGTAACTGTGTATATTTGTTTTCAAGATGGAGTTTCTCTAGAAGTTTTCATATCTCAATTTTAGGATTTCTGTAATCTTTGTAATCTTATCCTTAGTGTCAAATGCTACTATGAGGTCATCAATCCTACAGCCAACACTTAGGTGTGTTTTACAGTTCAAAGCTGCATTTCTAAATCAGTTTTTGATGGTCAAGTAGTTTATCTGATACTTAGTGTCTTCTCTTTGCCTTTTCCAAGTTCACAAGTGTCTTGGATATTCTTGAAACTAAGTGTTGGTTATTGTTTAGCCATTCTGTTGAGCTTATTTTATTCTATGCTCATTGCATGATCCAAATCTATAATTCATGACCATTTCATTATCCTGCTTTCTTCTAAGATTTTATATTTTGGTCTCCTGTGCTTGCAACTTTCTCTGAGATTTTGGCATTTTCTACTTTCTCATAGAACAACTGTTTCTTCTTTGGTACTTTTTAACATAGAAGCATATACTACTATAATATCCATATCATATGGCTTACCATTCTGTTTTACCAGAAGAGGATGGTACTAGAAGTTATCAAACTAGTTCCTTATTTGATAACTGCTAATACCCTACTTTTGTCTGTCTTATCTGGCTCCTTTTGAGTAAATATTTCAATGATAATTGCTTACAAATTTCCCATTTGCCTTTCATTTTGTTTTGCATATACTTAAAATGTTAACTTTCAATGGTTCTATCTCTTGATTTGAATTTTCTGCTTTAATGTAGTGTCCTAACATTATAAGTTCTGGTTACAATCTTACCTATGTTACAAGCAGTCAACGGATGATGGTCAGGTGATACCTGCCACATGGGTTTATCCTTTCTGAGTTAGGAAACTGTTTAGAATATACTGACTCCTCTTCGTACCCATTAGCTGATTATTTGTAAACTGTAATTTATGTTTGTTCTTCTGAGAGATAATGAAGTATTTTTAACAAGATACCATCTCTATTTAACTGTTCATTAACTCTTGAAGTTCATTAACTTTTTGAAATGTTATTTTTTTCCTTTCTAATGGGTTGCTAACCACTCTTCATATCACATCCATATCAGTGTAGGGTGGGTGGCCTGGTTTTCTCACCAAATATTTGACAACAATTGATAACAGTTTGATAATGAAACAAGGGTTTAGATAGGTTTTTCATGACTGTTGCAGCCCTTCCCTATTGCTAATAAGAGAACCATGTAAAATAGACCTCATGCCAGTGCCAATGAAGTTTTATGGTAGATTGCGGTGTGTGTGCATTATCAAATTTGCCATGTAAACCAAAGGTTCATGTGTCATGATCCAGTGAAGTTGAGACTTTAGCAGTAAGGTTCAAAGGTCATTGATTTTCTGTTAGGTTCCTTCTCCAAGGCAAATGTAGAGGTCTAGTGTTTCTTCAGATGAGTATTCTGACAGGATAGCTGCTGACCTAAGTGAGATCAAAGTCCCAGTCTCAGTATTGCCCCAATTGTTGCTAGTTTTAATTTTGTTTTGTTTTTTTGTTTGTTTTTTTTTTTTTTTGCTTTTTACTGCTTCTTTTGCAACCCCTTCACTTTCTCACACTTTCATTCTACATGTTAATTTTACCTGATTTGTAACTGAAGTAGAGTTGTTGTTCATGATTCATGTAGGTAAACAAATAATAAGTGGGTTATTTCATGGATTACTACTACTCCTAACAACAAAAGGATAAAAGGAAAGTTTAGCTTAATTTCATTACACTGAAGGAAATTGCTGACTCTTCAAAAATTCAGTTTGGAATTTTTTAAAAAGTGTTTACCACATTCAGCTTTTCCTCACTGACCAAGTATCTTGGTTATGCTCAGATTATTTTTTTTTATTAAACTATGTAAGATTATTTAAAGAGATATAAGATATCTATGTCAAATGACATATCAGAATGATTTTTCTCACTTTAAAAAGTTACTAATAAAATCAAAGTGAAATACCATAACCATAGTGAATTATAATTAATTTAACTATTAATAGTGTTGTCATATGTCAAATGCTAAAAATTCTTACACTATACACTAATAATATATTATCCTCTGCTTGAGAACTATGAATTTTAAGTTTCTATATTAAATTATAATAGTTACAGCATATTTGAGATGATATATATTGTCTTAAGTTGCTCATTAGTAAGGCACAGTCCCATTGAGACAGACTTTCAAGAATATAGGATACATGTTCAAATGTTATTAGCACTTAATTCTTTATTTCTTGCTTATCAATTATAAAATATAGAAAATACCTTGACATTGCAATAAAAATGAACAGATATAAAATAAAAGGAAAATAAGTAAAAAAATTAATAATAATAATATATTTGTCTCATCCATTTGCAAAAAAGTAACTATAATAAATATGATATTAAACAATATCTGAGGATTAGGCTTCAAGATACTTAAAAATCATAGTGAAAGTGAAATATCAGTGGATGCCATAAGTTTTATTATAATAATAATAAAATACTTTCTTCAAATAAAATAGCTAATGATATTTGTTCAGTATTATATGTCTCTGTGATATTATCACATGTCAGAGGTGCAAAGAGGTATAACAGTTACTATGATAGAAAATGAAATCAGAAAAAAGAGCTTGAGTTTTGGCCAAGGTTTTTTGCATTCCCTTTGTACTAATGCTCATGGCAAAAGCATGAATCCATTTCTCCTCAGATATAGGTCAATAGCATGACATTCTAATCTTGGTTGGCAACTTTGATTCTAAATCAGAAGTGGAGTTCTTAAGCAAACTATACCATCTTTCTGACAATTCTAACAGTCAAAAAGCCTGCTGGTTGTGACATCTCATTGGAAGCCAAAAAAGTAGGATTGTCTCTCTGCAATAACCCCTCTGCAAATGTATTTTGAATAGTTACAAACATCATTGAAATAATGATCCCCAAGAGATATATTAATGCTTCTTAGAGGATATTATACTCACCTCATTGGAGTCTAATTTCACAAGACTTTCATATTTTAATACTGGATATGCTCCAATTAATTTTTACTCATATCAAATATATTCCCTTTTTTCTGAGAATTGTAGCTTATTCTTTTTATAATATAATTAACTTGTTGATTATTCAATGAAGAAGGAATTCCATACTACTACTACTACTACTACTACTAATAATAATAATAATAATAATAATAATAATAATGTTATAAAAGGATTAAACTACTTTCATTTTAATTGTGTTTAATCTTAACTCTCATCAATATATGTTAGAGTCATATAAATGAATATGTTCTCTCATCAAATCAAATGCGGACTTAATATATTATTAGTAACTTTTCACTTATACTGATTTCCCGTCATAAGGTGTTTCACTGTTTATTTTACAAGAAGTTTTTTTTCTTCTCACTAAAATCTCTTAGTAGATACATTAGAGTTTCAGATTGTCATTGCCTGCTGTCAGGTAGGTACTGTTTATTACAAAAAGAACCGAATTCTATGTGATTATTTTTGTAAGTTTAGAATTCTACATTAAAATTGAGTTAAAGTGAATGAATTTCATGTTTCATATCTAGAGAAAAGATTTTTAAAGAATTAACTTTGTTTTTACCAATCTGCTACAACAGGTATCAACTCACACAAAGTTAAATAAAATTTTTAGATTACCAAGAACAAGTAAATATTTTAATTAAACTGAGATATTTTGATTTTACAGGGAAAAGCTTACCTTGCTTCTTAGGAATATGTTACCAGCACAAACATATTCAGATTAATTTTTGTTCCATTTCAAAAACAAAACAGCAAAAAGAACACAAACTGTTTTAATTAACATTGTTTCATTCCAGAAAATTTTACATATTTTGGTGCTTATATTGTGTAATACAGTGAAATCTTTCCACTAAATTGTGGATAGTTGTTGATTTGTGCATTTTCTTTCCATATTCATACTTATATATCTGTAAATATATATATATATATGATGTTTTTTGTGCATGCGATCTTGACTTATCAACATTTTTCATTGTGTTGTTTTCTTTTAGGCTTTTTTAAAAAATATGTATATTTTCAGTTTATTTTTTTTTTAAATTTGTGTTTTTATTGGTTAATTGAATGCTTTTCTTTTTTTGTATTTTTATGTAATATTTTTCTTTTTGAAAGATCTTAACTTTGCAGAGCCCAAGAATTAAAAAATATATATAATGATAAATATTAAGAGGAAAAAAAGAAAGGATATCAAAAATAAAAAATGTAAATAGAATGGACTGAAAAGAAATATTGATGTATATATAAATATAGAGAGATAGATAGACATTGATACAATGTATCTTTTACTGTCTTTTTTTAATCTGTTTGTATTTGTTTCTTTTGAATTCCAGTAAGAAAGCCACAACTAACTATTTTCTTTTTCTTCATTGTTGTTCTCAACAGGTGTGAACGAATGAACGTGGCTTGTGAGAACTGTACTAAGATGTGTGCATGGCAGCCTCCGATTCAGAAGGAAGACTGCAAAGTGATCGGAGATGATGCAGATAATGGTTGGTCCCCTCGTCTGCGCGTCTGCTACACTTGCTGCCTCCACACCAAGTGTTCATCCATCTGTGACCGCTATTATAGTAGTCCTTGCAGACCAAAAGTGTGAGTGGTTTGCCCATATATTTTATTAATATTTAATCCAATGCATTCATTTGTTTTTAACTTCTTTTCAAATATTTTGCAACACAAATGTAAGCAATCCTAGAATCCCATTTCAGATTTCAAGAATTTTCAGAATCACATTTCAGATTTTCAAAATACTCATAAAGCAAGTATATTAATGCATTTCAGTAATTTATCATTAATATCCTTGTTATTGGATGTTCATTCATGTGGTCTTCAATCATCTAGTGACATTTCTGTTTATTTATTTTAGTTTTTCTCTTCACAAAATATGAGGAATCATCACATTTCACTATTTTATTTTGCACTTTATTTAGCATTATTACAACCTTAAACACAATGAGCAGTCCTTAAAAAGTAATTATTATACACTGATTTATTTAAATTGGTGGCAGAATCTTGGTTTCTACAACTATAATGTTTTGGCTATTGTATCCTTCAGCTTCTTTCATGTAACTATTGTATTTATTAATGGTATCAGAATATTTCACCAAATACTTTATTCAATCAATGAACTTAGACTTTTTTACTTTCAATATCCATGCCACTGAATAATGGCATATTTGTTAATTCATACATGTGATGTGGTTTTCTGCTTGTTCCACTGATCTAGGGTATATAGATTCTACTGCCTGACCCAGAGACTGAACCTATGGCCATCAGATAAAACTGCATGCATTCAAGTAACAATTATAACCTTTAAGACAACCAGGTGGTATAATTTTGGAATGTTAGATTTAAGGCTGTTCTTTGCTAATCAAATGTTTCCACATGGTGTTAAATTTGATGCTGACTGAAGAAGTTATCAGTTATATAATAATATTGATAATTCCTCATCTCAGAAATTCAGAAACTTTAAAATATATACAATAATTTATGAATGTCTTACTTTTTTATGGTGGAAGAGGTTAGTTTCTTTTCAAAATATATGCATATTTGTTTCTTTCTGAAAACAATTGAAAAACATTCTCATTTGAGTGATGAAAACAATAAGTTAGTCTTCACTATATTTTGAATTGTTTTAAAGAAAATAAGGGAAATTATTATTTATTTATCTAGTTATTTACTCATTTTATTAAATTATTGTATATTGTTTTTATCTATTAAAATATATATTTTATTTATTATTGTCATTAGTTGTTTATTCTTTAGGTTATTTTATATTTATTGCTTGTCTTTAAAAAGAGAAGTGTGTCAGTTGGCAAGTTTATTTTATTACAAGTAATTTACTAACTTATATATTTGCCATGAACAACTGAGCTTTACTTAATTATTTCTGTTTTAACATTTTTTAAGATGATAAGATATTTTCAAATTTGTAGGAGATGCATCTCAAATCTTAATGTTTATTTTTACCATTTATTATATATAATTGATTATTTTCTTTTATTTTATATTCAAAAATTTATTTTAACAACAATAGTAATAATTGGTGTTATAAATATTTGACAATTATTTTCTTTTATTTATTGCATATATATATATATTATTTTTTTTTTTATTACTTTCTATTATTTATCATTCAAACAGTTGTAATAATAATAATAACTGGTACATTTAACAATACTCCTTTACTCCGGCAGTCCAAAAAAAGATCCTATAGTTGATTACCTCTGGCACAAAACTATGCTGGCAACTTCATGTGTAGTAATTCCAAGGTTCTTGCCAGTGAGGAGTTCAACTAAGAGATAGTAACTACAGAAAGTTTTGACCAGTTGCAAGCTAAATTTGCACATGGGACTGGCAGACTACTGGCAGTATATCCAGTGCAGTGATGATATGGCATTGCTGGGTAGAAAGCTTCTAAAACTGAAATCAATAGTTTAGGCAGGGGGCTTATCTAGCTTATATGCTTTTGACCAAGGCAAACCTTTGTCTGAGAACATTGGCTGTGGTTTGACCTGGTGAGAGATGAAATCAACCAGGTTTACTTTGCTTAAGACATACTACACATTAATGAATATCTACCAAAAAATGTGGAGGGAATTGGTCAGGTGTTCAGCTACTCAGTGACCCTATGACAACACCTGGTCATGGGATTGATGGTGGTTACACTACTTTAAACACTGATCAATTTTTAAATTAAACCTCTTAATCCTACTACTAATACTGTTTTTTTCCTTGAAAGTGAAAGCAAAATCTTAAAACACATGTATTAAATCATCTATCCGTATACAAAATAGAGTTCCTAATCTTCAGAAACCATCTTTTAGTACTTAGAATTTATGATATCTACTTATTTTTTTATTCTAGTCAAACCACTAACAAGTAATTCACTTATCCAATTAAACTACTAGCCACAATTATACCCACTATCATTTCAATTTTCTAACATCATTTTTATATTTTTGTTATATTCTGTGCTAATAGGAATATATACTTGAAAAACAAGGTGGATAAAATAAGTAAAGGTTTATTGTAAAAAACCACTACAAATAAGAATAAAGGTAACAATTATGCACAAGGTTGTTGCAAGTCAATCCAGTAGTGAGTGCTACTATTGGAAGGTCGGCAATTCTCACATGTCATATTCAACAGATCCAAGCTAGTCAATATTTACTAGCCCCCTCACAAGGGTAGATGTGGCACACGGCCGAGTTAAACGTGGGTCTTCCAAGCCCATAGGCTCACCCAAAAAATGCCCGTAGAACCCGCATAAACAGGATCGGGTTGGTCACCCACCGCAAACCAGACTCTGCTTGAAAGCAGAGAGTTTGGCCAAATAGCTGGAAGAGATCCCAGCTAGTATATTGAGCCCAAGAACAAGACTCTGCACTTCAGCAGAGCCTCATCCAAGTTCCTCTCTGCCCAAAGGCAGAGAGTTTGACTGTGTAGCTGAAAAAGATTTCAGCTAGGCTCTGTAATCTGTTGACTTCCAGATACTTATAGGTAGTTACTACCTATAGTGTAGTCACTCATGGGGTGACAGGTTATTCCATTACATCAATTTTACATATATATATATATATATATATATATATATATATATATATATATGATAAATATATACATACATATAAATATATAGTAAAGGTAATAAATCTGTTGGTATATAATCCAAGTACATCCTAGTAATATAAAATATTAAAAGTGATCCACAAAAAGAGATCTATTTATTTATTTATTATTACAGAGCAAATAATTAATACACAATAAAATCTAAGATCACCCCATATGGGGAATAAGCTTATTTTGACCACCAAAAATATAATTCGTCAGTCTTATCAACACTGGCATAAACTGAGTTTGTGACAGAAATAGAAATTTAACTGTGAAAACTACAAAAATATATAATAAAAGTATAATTTTAAGAGTTTTTATGGATTAAAGTGCTCAGTATCAGGGATAATGCATATCCACTTATATATATATATATATATAGTGCTGCACAAAAATAACTGAACCCTCTAACATAATATTAAAAATAATTATCACATTTTTTATACATAATCAACCATGTAAAACAAAAATACAGAGTCTAAATGGAAAGATTCACTTACTTTTGCACCTTAATTTTTTATTAATATTTTTTTTGCCGCTTGATTTGTTTAATAAAGATTTTTCTTAATGAATATGTAGTTTAATTAACATTTGTTCATTTTCTGAAAAAAAAAAACAATTTTTTTAATATTATCTCAGGGGTTCACTTATTTTGTGCAGCACTGTATGTATATATATATATATATATATATATATATATATATATATATATATATATATATATATATATATATGTGTGTGTGTGTCTGTGTATACTGCCACTATTATCTATTTGTTATTCTGAATACGGTCTCTTTATTTGTTTTGATTTCACACAAAAAAGTACTGTATTATTATTTGCTCATTTTATTCATTAGTATGTTACTTTCCCACTTTTTCTTACTCCTGCCTCCTTTTACAGCAGTTATTTTCAATAAATACTGCATTGTGTCATGATAAGTATGCAGACTTGCTGAGAAAAGTTGGTGGAATAATTACAAACATTTTATAAATAAATCTTTTGAAATCAATGATCAAAACTTTTTTTTAAAGTAGTGTTTCAAATTTTAGTTACTGAATTGTTAAATATAATTTTAATACTTATTTTTTAAGGGATAAAATTTATCCTTAACATTTTTTGACAATTTCTTCTTTAGTTGAAAAAAATTGAAAATCACTAATCTACCAGATAATTTTTTTCATTTCATAATCATGTACATCTTAAAAACATACACATAAAAATATAATTGTAGATTATCTGCCTCTCTCTCTACCTATACACACACACACATATATATATATATATATATATATATATATATGTTCTTCCTTCAACCAATCAACCATTACTACTTTCATACTCCTTCTTTATTTAACTACCAATCTCTGTTATATTTTACTAATCACTTCTGTTATTTATTTTTTATTTGTAATTTTTATAAATTTTCACGCTTGCTTTTTGGTTACTATTTCAACAAATTATTTTATTTTCTTGTTCTGTAGGTGCCTGAAAGGCAGCGTGCTGGAGTTCATTCTGAAGCCGGTGTTCACGGAGACAATGTACTGCCATGTACAACCTGCCGCCCAAAGGACTCTTCTTGAGGTGGATTTCACAATCACCTATGATGAAAGACGATTACACAAGGAAACATTTCAAATAGGAGCAGAACCTGAGTGGCTAAGGGATGGATCAATGAACAACATTGAGTGAGTAAACCTCAAAATTTACAAGAACCAATTTTGGAACTGACATTCTCAAGTCTGTTTTGGTTTTTACTGTGTGACATGTAGAACTATTCTTCATGAAAAGTATGTTATTTTTATTAAAATAACCATTGACAATATATGTTAACAAACTCCATTTTTCAGAATAGATACGTATTTTTCCAAACTGATTTGTTTCACACGATTCAGATACTTTGAACATCTAATGTCCAAATTGTTTCCCTTGTCATAACCCATAATTTGCCATATCCAATAGTAAACTAGAAAGAGTTTAAACAATATTCTTAGGTAATCTCTACATTCATTTTCATACAGTTCCAAAACTGAAGATTTCATAATTTATCAGAAAAGATAATGGTGCACCAAAACCAAAAAAAGTCTTCAACCATCTTAATTATCCATTATTTTCTCAGTTAAGTGTTGACTGGTTTAAAAAATGACTTTCTTTTGGTTGATCTGGCATAGTGTGCTGCTATTCTTTGGTTGAAACATATCTGTTATTGTGCCATGGGGACATTTTTATTTTACTTTCTTGTTTCATCAAATGCACTATTCTAATAACTCAAATAGATTGAAATGTGAAGTTTTCCTTTTCTTCATTAGTAAATTGTATGATCATGTCATTCCCAGTCACAAGTAGAGTGCGTAATTTTGATGCTAACTGACATTCTGCTTCATTTCAAAATCTAAAAAGCTAAAAGTTATTGGAATGTAAGGCATTGTCAAGTAATTTATCTTAAAAAGAGTTATTGTCATTGTATATATGTTAACTTCAATAAAATAATATTATCTATTTACTTATATAACATATGTTAAACATTAAGTATCAATGATTTATTTTGTAGAAGCGTTAACAAGAAACTGTTATAATCAATTCCAGAAAAAATCTCTACTATTTACTAAACAATGTTTAATTTTCTCATCCTTTTGTTTCAATGAACTCTCCCTTTGTCATTCACACTTTGGTGTACATTCAGATATTCTGTAAATAAGAAAATACAAATTTGTACCATTTTTTCTATGCTTACTTATAGGAATACACTTCTTTTTGTTATTATTATTTTATTTCTTTTGATTTCTGATGTGTACACATTTCTTTCCGGGTCCTGCCCAGAGACCTAAGGTTAGAAATGGCATCATGACATTTTCCACTGACCAATTAAAAAAAAAACAACAAAAAAACAAACATATTTTACATAGATAAAGCCATTTGTAAGGTGTGGGCTGTACTCATGAGAACAATTTTTTGTATTTTGGGCTGTACTCGTGAGAACAATTTTTTGTATAAAATTTTATTCATTATTATTTTATAGTATAATTTTATTTTTTATTATTATTTTTATTATTATTATTTATTTATTTATATGTATAAATCTCTTCTTCAAGGCATTTTATGCTAAAAATATAACAAAAAAAGGCTACATGAAAGAAGAAATTGTCAGTAAGTAGTTATTAAGATGAATAAGAATAATAATGAAATCATCACATTCTCAAATATAAACCTCTACAAATGACATTATGTATTAATTGCTGTTGTCATGTAAGAATTGTATATTTGTTCTATTCCTTGCTTACTTTTAATGTATAACCATTAAAAAAATTTTTAATTCCATTTTCTTGATTAGTTAATAGTACTTGGAATTTCAAATTCATGATATTAGTGGTATTGTAACCAAAGTCATAGGAATAGTGTTTTCTTAAATAAACCATAATAGATCTGCAATAATATTTTTAGCAGTAAAAAAAACTAATATACTACCTTACCATTTATTTATAAAAGTGTTAACATCATTTTTGTTACATCACAATTCTAATTTATTTTTTTTATTTTTTTAGATATAAATTTTTACAAATAGATATAAGTTCTGGAATTGAAAAAATGCCTGACGTGGTGGCGATGGATCAGACAACAAAAAGCTTAAAGGCTGGGTTACACCGCAAATCAGGACACAATTTGGCGGGCTCTGTGGTACAAGGGGATAAACTTTTTATCCATCCACAGGAAATATTTGGAGTCAGCCTCCAAAACTGGGGTGAGTATATAACATGCTACCATGTAATAATATTTGTGTGTGTGTATCTACACATAAATAAAATATTTACATATTTCAAAACTTTAGCTTTATATGTTATAACATCAAATATTTTATAATATATTATAATATACAACATTATATGAGGTGGTGCTGGAATATTCTGGGCCCAGTCAAGTAGGGATTAAAAAAAATTCTGACGTTTGGTCATTTGGTCAGATTTTGTTGAGTGAGTCAAACCGAAAACTTTTCAGTACAGATCACTCTCATGTTAACATAAAGTTATCTCCCTTTAAAATTAACCAGTAAAGCATTTTAAATCAGCTAAGAATATTTATTCGTACTTATTATTAAAAATAATTAATTTTTCTCTTTCCCATCTCCAGTTAAACAAGCTAAATATAAATTTCACTAAAAAAATATCCAGTTCATAAGGTTCTATTTCAGTAAGCAACCCAATGATTTGTTGGGCTTTCATTATTTGCTGTAGTTAAAAATATTGTAATGAAAGTAGTCCCCCTTTGGATTGTGTGGGCAATGTAATGGTTAACGGTGTGAAAAACGGATTTCACATTCCAGCTGAGCCTATTGCGTTCACTTCACATTTACGCCCTTCTCCGCAGCCCAGCTATGTGTAAAATAGCAGGAGGGCTAGACTTGTTAACCCTGAATTCAAAATTGTGAAGAAGCAAATGGGAAACCACACTACTACCTTTCCCAATAATAGTCATTACAATTTGCAGCATTAAGAAATGGAAGCTGTGTAGAAGCGTTAATTATATACGTCCTGAAGAGACATGATTTAATTTTTTTTATCTCCCTTGACATGCAAAACTTGTAAACTAAAACAAATATCTTTTTGTTACCTATTAAGAGATATTAATTCTCCTAACTGAGAAACAGTAACAATGACAACTTCTTGTGCAATAGAAAGATATTTTTAAAAGATGTAAGATAATGGAGATTAAATGAGTATAAATATGTTAATATTTAATGAAAATAAGCATGACAAGATCTAAAGAACATATTATACATGCTGTTAGCAAAAATGTATTTACATATTAAATAAAAAAAGAACAAGTCATTTTACTGAAAAGTGGTATAAAATTTACATTCATTGTAAAAAGTAACTAAAGATATTTAGATATATTTTATGGTTGAAAAAAAAAAAAAAAAAACAATTGATGGGATATATGTAAGATCCTTAAAAAGTAAGTGTAATACCATAATTATTTTTGCTCAGATGAAACAACAAAATCCCTAAAAGAAAATAGTCAACAGATGCTCATACACTCTAGTGTCAAAAGTAGCAGTGTATCCTTGATCCAGAAAAAGTATTGTAGAAAACGATAATGAAATGATAATTAGTATGGTGATTAAAATAGCAACAATACAGCAACAATTTTTGGAGTCATTTTACTTAAGGATGTGCATTAAAAATGAGCAATCACCAGTTTCCAAAATTTATACAAAAAAATTCCTGTTGAATATTTGCTGAGATAACTTATTGGGTGGATGCAAAAGCTAAAAAGTCCTTTATTCATGGCTTCATTATAAAGCATCAAAGTAGTTTTTCTGATTTTCTATAACTTTATGCCAATTTACAGATAAATTGTGTATTCTATCTTTAAAAGGGTTTTACTTTTGAATTAATAAATTCCTCAATATTTCAAATGTTCTGGAATTGCTAATCAAAATAGGAGTGTATCAGATGATAGTCTGTAAGTGACCAGATTGTAAACCCATGGAAGGAGTCCTCATTCCAACTCCATGTTTGCTCTATCACATTTTCAACTGAAAAATGGGTATTGGCAAGCAGTATTTGTAATTGAAAAGTCTTCTTTTTTTTATTCCAGTCCATCATTCAAACAAACCAAATGTTCACTGTAGTATTGAGCAGTAAAGGTTTGTCAAGATCCCCACAATTTGTAATAAAGGATACTTTTTGAATCTCCTTGAATACAGAGAAAATCTGTTTTCCATCTAGGTTAAGCCTGCTTTCTATCTAGCCATTATGTCAAGTTCACAAACTAAATCTATTTTTTCAATAGAAACTATCCTGTAAAGAAATGGTCTATATTGAATAAGAAGAGAAAGACAAGTGTTTCAAATGCTGACATTTTTCTTGTACTTTCACATGGAACCCATTTTCAGTGCTTCTGAATTTCTTCTGATCAAACAACAGTTGAATGATTCAGTTGTAATCATTTCTGCAAATTCAAATGTTGTTTTTTTTTTCAGTATCTTTCTCCATTTCATCAACTTTCAAGGTCAGCTGTATCCAAGCATATTGAAAATATCTTGTTAAAACTTTCCAAATCAATGCTGGCACATTCTTACAATCTACTGCTTCATAGCTATAAGATTCAGCAAGCCATTGTCTAAATTCCAGTGCACTTTTTCCCCAGGTTCAACATGAAATTTGTCAGACTTATTAAGTCATGATTTATCCCATAATAAAGTAAAATAACTTTTACAAATAATTCTTTAAAAGTATGCATATACAAAAAATGTACAAGTGGTAGAAACTTTCAAGATACAAAAGATAGCCTCGAAAAATGTTGTATTCAGCCAATAGTCTCATTTAATACTTTGATACTTTAATATCTATGAGTAATGATCTTCATTTTGATTTTCATTAGAGAATAATACATTTTTAAGAAAATGTTATGTTAAACTCAGATAAAGCCATTGGTTCAACAAAATCTGGTAATTGGCAGTAACTTTTTGGCATACATTACATAAACTCAATTTTTAGTTAGCATTACAAACAAATTTTGATCAAAACCAAATCTTCTTGAACTGATTTCTCTACAGGAAATAACAATACAATTCAAACAATGAATTTTTCTTTTATGTTTACCTTTTTAGTCAATAATAAGAGACATTATTTTATGATAGTTACAATTTATCAAAATAACTGGCTTCCAGAAAAAAAGGAAAAGAAACTGCTCAGAAGATGTAACTGATGAATGTATGCATAATTTTGTGCTGCAGTGTTTCAGTTTTTACACAATCAGGAGACACTGTACTATGGTGGCTATAAATTTTAGTTAGCCTAATGGTGTCAGTGTTATCCCCACCCAACACAGAGACTGCAAACTTATAGGTAAATTTTTGTTTATTTGAATCCTTTGCACGGAGCCTATACCCACCAAATTAGAAACCCTATTTAAAATAATCTAATGTTAAAAAAAGAAAGAGAAAAATAATGTAAACATTTTCCCTCATTTTCCTTGTGTTGTGGTTTATCAAAGTCTATGTATGAAATCCTCTGTAGAAAGACTGCATGTTTTTAAAAAAGAGAAAACGTTTTAGGAGTCACAACATTTTTGAAAACTTAGTTTGTTTAAATTAAATGTTATTTGTCTGTTTATGTTTTTATTAGTTTTTTCCCAACTCACTGAATTTGTCCTGAACTTAAAAGCAGCTGTTAACTAATTTCTTTTTATTTTCCTTTAGCTGAACTTTTGATAACCATTTCAATAAATTATACTATTTACTTAATTTCATTTTCAGTATTGCTTCCTAAAACAAAAACAAAAAATGATGAAAAATATCTAATTTTATTGGAAGTTAATTTTTTTATGAAACTTTCTAATAACAAAACTAAAATCAGAGTAGAAATTGGAGATATCTAAATTTTGACACATTATTTTGATAATTTTCTGCCACTCAAAGTAGGTTAATTTGATGGTTAATATAATCTGCTGAATTGTTGAAAAAATCAATAATTATCTCATATTACATAGTAGTTTTAAAGCTCTTCTTAACTAAGAAATTATTTTAATTAAATAGATAGTATAGGTTAATAGCATCTTACACAATATAGTTATTAAAAAAATGGGTTGACAAATAGACAGAATTAAGTGTGTGGGCAAGAAATAATTTGTTTAATGTTGAGATTTAAAGGTTAGATTTTAAAATGTCATTTGTTTAGGTCATTTTGAGGAGTGTTTTATCAGAAAAGTAGTTATTTATTGCACTTACAATGCTTGAAAAATAGTTAAAGAACTGTATTATATTCAGAGAATACTTATATAATAAAAATACACTATTTTTTTTCAAAATTGATAAAAACATATGTACTTAATTTTAAATCTTGAATTTAGAGTTCTGTTTATATACCTAGATCTAAAAACAGTTTAGATCTAGGCTGTGTGAAAGATTTAGTGCAGATCAATTCAACTAGTGTGTTTCCATTTAGGAATTTGGATTTAAGCTGAATCTTGAATCAGATTTAATCAAACTTCAACTATGAATAATTTATAACTATGAAACTTTGATAATAACCATTTAGATTTAGGAACAGTATTGTTTTCTTATATGTTGTATTAAATCAGTTCAAATCTAGAATCAAACAATTTCACTTTTTATTAATTTTAACTCAACCAATATAAGATTTTTTTTTTGTTTCTAGTTTTCTATATACTAGTTTATGTGTAAGTTACGTGCAGAATATAACAATAGCTTCAAAGATGTTTATATAAATATATTACCTTTTTTTCACTTTTGTCATTCTTAAGTTCTTTTGTGATATTAGTGAAGTTAATTAATTTTTGTCTCTAGCATTCTTTAATACTTATGTTATATTTAGCGCAACAGTAATAGTACTTGCTTTTGGGGGATCAGTATATTATCTTAGCTTTGTAAACTGAAGTACCAAAAAAATTTGAAACAGCTACCTAATAACATGTAGGTTCTCCCTTTGAATAACAGTGGCTGTGCAACTAGGAATGTTGTCAGTAGAGTACATGGGCTATTGCATGAGTAAGTATTTATCTGCACATCCATGTCATTAGAGAATATGACACATGGTCAAGGTATAATGAGGGAAGCTGTTCAAAAATTGTTCAGACCCCCTTGACATTTCCCGTTTTGGTAGTGCCTCAGGCACCAGGTAATGACCCCAGTCCCCTCCTGAAGGAGAGGTACTGCCTGGGGTAATGGTCACCATGGGACTTGAGCAAGTATTAATTTCAAACTACCTCAGCTGGATTGTTGTGTATATCTATACAGGCATAGTCTAGAATTATCCATAACTGAATTCAGTTTGTTAGGTTTTACTGCAGGGAATATAAAGATGTCTGAAGCATGTCCTTTACATGCTTAATGGGATTAAAATCTGATGAGTCCAGAAGCTGTTGGATTCAGTACTCACTACTGCTTAGAAGTTAGCAATTTCCTGGAACCAGTTTTGTATCACAAGCCAATGGTGAGTGTTTACATTATCTTCCTGCAACAAATCATCACTACCAGGAATCATAGCAACATAAAGAAAAGCAAATGGTCTATGACAAGGAACACCTGTTGAGAGACTCCAGTTTCACCAGTGGTTCTTTTGAACTTCAGCAACACAACCTACATCATGATAGAACTGCCATCAATTTGGCACAACACCCTGCTGATAGGCTGGATCTGTAGGCTTATGTCATTTGATTTATACATGAACTTAACCATCTGCCTATAAGAATTAGCAACATGATATGTCTGACTAGGTGACATCATGACAGTTTTCCAGTCTCATGGTGATGTTTTCTAATACAGATGATATACAGTAACTGATAATATAGTGTCAATAATGGTACTTTTGTTGCTTAATGATTATGAAACCCCTGTAAAATTCAGTGTATATTGCACTGCACCATGTGTTGATAGATATACTGAGCAGTATCATTCCTCAATCAAATGACATTAAATTCTATTCCTGTACCACAGCTACACTACCTCTTTACCTATTGTTACATATACTCCATCTGGCAGAGTTCATTTCTACAAGGTGATTGTGAAACCATCCAATGTCTCTAACTTTTTGACACTTCAGTTTATATTTGACAAGAAATAAACTTAATAGTATTTTTACTCAAAAGTGAAGTTATTTTCCTTCCTATCAATTAATGTATTCTAATAGACCAACCCTTCTCAATATTACTAATTATTTCTGAAGTATTTAAGCTCAGTGTCCTGCATGATCACCCTTTTATTATTTTTTTATTTCAATATCTTTCCTTCTAACCACACTCCCATTAATATATGACTTTTATTTAGCATGAACTGTGTATTATTATTCACATCTTATGATTTTCCTATACTCCATTCTCTAATTTCTTTTTAAAATAGCATATTCTGTGCACTTCTTTCTCAAGACAAAACTCAATTTTTTCTTTAGACTAACCAGTAACAGTAGCCAATATAGTTTAATCTTAGTGATTTATTCACTTTATAGCAGATTATATTCCATAATCCTATGGTTAAAATGATTTATGACCAATGAAAATCATTCATTATTAAATAGTGCTTAGACACATGACCACTTGGAAATTATATTCCTTATTTTTTATTTACTTGGACTAAAAATAGGTTTAACACAATGTGACATTTTACAATATTCAGTTATCATTTACATTTGCTTTCCATTATAAAAAAACAAGTTTTCTTTTTAGGTATTTTAAATAATATTCTTCTGGTCAAATTACACAAAACTATGGTCAAAACCTTCATTTCTGTTATCCTATTGCTCTAAATTTCTTATCTTTTTAGTGCTATGATTGGGCATAAAGTTTATATTAGCTTTAGTTGGTCACACAGATTTCACTTCTATTCATACCAGATCATATTTTTCATTTAATTAGGGTATTTTTCTTGCCATACGATCTACGAATGATGAAATAGTCTACAATTGATGATTCTTTTTTTTCTGATAGCACAAACAAAATTGGATTTCTTCATTGTATTGGGTTTCATTCTTATCACTTGAAACCAAAAGGAAAATAAACTAGTCAAAATAGTGTAAGCAATAGAAGAAAACATTTCAATAATTAAGATTAACATTCAAAATTCTTTAATTATAAACATATTTTCTATTTTGATAGCAGCCTATGAACACTGGCTGATTTTGTCTAAGTTACTGTTACTAACATGTCTTATGAAGGTATTAGAAGTGAATAATGCACACTTTTAAAAAAAATCTTAATCCTTGCATGCAACAAAGCTAATGTATTGACTAAATTTCTCCCAAATAGATTCTTCATGTTGTAACTATTGTCTTAGAAAAGCATTTCATTGTAGATATGAAAATGTATATTAATATATAAAAAATATATTAATAGCATTTATATAAATAAAATGAATATTCATGTTTGTCCTGAGCATTTTATGTACACTTGAGAGTTAATATGCATGTATTTTAATAGGTGTACATGTACATATGTATGTGGATTTGTGTGTATGCATGCGTGAGTATATATATATATATATATATATATATATATATATATATATATATATATATATATATATACTTTTTGTGTATTTATACTTATGTGAGGAGGTGCATAGCACTGAATGTACTGAAGTACATGGACATTCATTTTTGGTGCTATTGAAAGTGCAAGGCATGTGTAGTAACAAAATAAGTATCTGTGATATATAACTTTGACATTTTCCATCCTGATCAATTTTCTAATCTCACAATTAATTCCTCAGTGGATGTACTGGTAGTTAAAATGAAATTTATTACAGATGCAGAATGAAATTTCAGCAGTTACTCAGGATTGTCACAAACAAAAACAAGATGAATGTGAATCCTCTTACATACATCTACTTTTTATACATACTCTTATGTATGTCATTAATGTTATTTACACACACACACACACACATATATATATATATAGTTACTTTCTCATTTCTGAGTATAGACATCACTTGATATCACACCATTCTGCAGTTTACACAAATGCATAGCTTGAATGTGGTGTTTGTGTCCAGCCAGGAACCCACACTTGTTGACAAATTGTTATTAACATTCATTGAGTTTGAGTACCTTTTTCACCCATACCCATAACCAGATTGCTTTCTCCTACATTTCCATAGGTAGATCTAATGGATTACTACAAACTAACCAGAACCCCATAGCTGGAGCCATACCTCGAGATACAGTTTAATTTAATACCTAGGACTATATATATATATATATATATATATATATATATATATATATATATATATATATATAAACATTATTTTAGCAGATATCTGTACTTGAAATAGATGCCCCATTCTTATTATTAGTTGTATTACATTAATTCTTTAGAAATTGCTTTGTTTATGTTTTGGATACAAAACTGAGCAGATATGAGCTTTCAAGAAAAAAAATCTGAATGTGGAAAGGTGCTTTCCGTAAATGGGAAAATATAATCTTGCTGTCTGTGGCTGGGTGGTCTCGGGCATACCCGATCAAGCAGTGGTTTCTCCTGCAGAAGGGGATGTGGATTCAGGTTCTGCTGGAGAGCACATTTTGTTTATTAAGATTTCTCAAGTGTGCAGACTGATGGATGTAATATACACTGTTTAAAATAAAAATGTGGCATCTATTTCAAATACAGGTATTCACTAAAATAACATTTGAATTAATGTAAAAATAAAGAATTACAAAATAAATCCATTAATCCTTTATATATATATATATATATATATACTTGTATGCATGCATATATATTTTCATGTGGATATATGGTATTGTGTGCTTGGGCATAGATTATAAACATATTTTTGTGAGACCTTGTGTACATATTAACATGATGTACAAGGAATTCCTGTTTTGTACCTGTATGTATTTATATGTTTGTCAATATATATGTATGATTGTATATGTCTCTACATTCAAAAAGGCATATTTTTCTTATTTTCTGTAGGCATACAATTTTATTTTATTTTTTCTCCTAAATATTTTATCATTGTTATTACTAATCAACTTTCTCAACATCATTTTCCTTGCTCTTTTTCATCTTCCCCTTCTAGTTTTCTCATATCAATACAAACATCATTCTGTTTTATTCTATCTCTTCTTCATTTTTAATTCAGCATCAACACATTTTTTGTTATTCAATCTGCATTGTTATTCTTTATCATTTGTTCCATTTTTTTCTTCCCTCCAAATATCATCATCTACATTGTCAATTACCTTCATCCTTATTATCATCATAAATTTTCTTTTGCAGCTTTGCAGAATTGTAGTCGTGACATCCTGGAGAAGTTGATGATGGTATCAGAAAAGGATGAACCCTACATTGAAATGTCTGATGTTCTCACCTCCCATATGCGTGAAATTACCTACATGATTGTTAATAACAGTGTCACGCCCAAGGCTGTTTTCCGTGTCCCACGTACAATGTCGTTACTGCAGTGGGTTGCTCCTTATGGAAGAATCAAACACGACTCCATAATTGGTTCCATTCAGCATTCCTCTTCAAGATGGGTGGTCATGCTTGAGGGAAATCTTGAAGCTTGCCCAGGTAAACATCAATATTCGCACAGGTCAGAATGTCTGGGTTGTTTTTTTAAACCTAAAACTGAACAGAAATTATTTCATAGATCACTTGTTATTTTAATGAAGACAATAGACTTCATGTCAGAACTTCATACAATAGTTGGATTACCTCTTTTCCCTTTTTTGAAAAACAAGAATCAGTCCTAATCTTATATTCTCTGTTTTGAATAATAAACTCAAACAGAAATTAGATCAAGTTAGTGTAAGCTGGAAGTTTACATAGGAATATTTTCATGACAAATTCAGAATTATATATAAGTTAAGTCCTTATTACTTTCAATATTGATGTTTCCTCATATCTGGTCTTTAGATTAAGAAGGTAACAAACTTAATAAAAGTTTAAATCTTCCCAGTTGAACAAGCCAGATCATATTAACAGCCTAAGTAGTATCAATAGGTCATTGAAGAATATGTACTATTAAACCAAACTGAGCAACATGGGTACTCCCTTGTAGTAGGAATATGCTTTGAAATTAGTGATTTATTTTGATTGTTCATCAATGGTTAATTGAATGTTCATAGCATGATAATCAGGCATGGCTTTACAAATATCCAGAAGGCTGATGATGTGTTTGAAGCACTGCATAACAGTTGAATTTAGTTTTGTGATATTTTTGGTGAGTGTTGTTTTTGTAAAACAGCAAGACTGGGTGTTAGGTGGCATCACATTTTTTTCAAATGCAATTTTTTCTCGGGAGCAACTCCCTTTTCTTGGGTAAATCTCATTCTCTTGAGTTCTTGGTTAAAGGGGTGTAACTCATGAGTAATTAAATCAGTATTACATCATATCTCTGTAATGTCTCTGAATTTTATATTTAATAAATGATTTGATTTGGTCATTGTCAACAGCCGATGATCTTCTAAATTCAAAATATCAACTTCTGAACTTAGTGAACCACTTACTGTTGAAGCTTGAATAAGCATGGAATAATAATAATACAACACAAAATGTACATAACAAAATGTATTGAAACAATGAAAAAAGGTACACAATATTTACAGGTAGTTTTGGTATATTCTTGGGAAGACTGTTCCTGCAGAATGGGTTGACTAAGTCACAGTCGGGCAGAGTCTCTGGATTCGATCTCTTAATCTTCCCTCGTCTTCCGGTACCAACCCATATTTATATGGTCGGTACTCCACTTATGTAAATTAGGTGTATCATACACAACACTTACCAACTGTACTCTCAGCTATGGCACCATCTGCATAAACAGCACATATCATTTTTTTGCTGTTTGTACAACAATTCTTCCTTTCTGGAAATAAAAGAGCATTAAATGATGAAAATGTATTTTTTCTTAATTTTTTACTTAACATAAAATCATTTAAAATTCACAATCTGCAAATGAATCATATACAAAGAATGCATTAAAATGTCACCTTTCAGAATATGTGTGTATCTCATTATTTTCAGTTACATATGCAACAAAATAATGTGTTCAAATGCCACCTATTGAAAAATGCTATAAACTTTTATTTGAGCACAATAAATTAGGTATATGAGCGTTTATGATAGCAGTTTTTCATTTATGCATGTTTGGTTGAAAAACAGTGAAAATTCTTTGTTTATGCTTCTTTTTTTATTTTATTTGGACTATTTTCCTGATTTTCAAGTAGAGTTAGAACATAATAATTGAATAATTTATGTTCAATATCTGCCTGGAAACAAAGAAAATTGTCCAAAACAAGGGAAAACAATAAATTAAAAAACTCTTAAACAAACAACTTTCATTAGTCTTCACCCAAACATGTATACATACACCCTTTTTTCTCTCTATGTATATTTATTATGCATGTATATGCATAAATACATTTATAAAGAATTTCTGAAAGCTTTTATTAAATTTAATCTTTGTTAACTAACATCATAAATGCTTAACAATATGACTTGATGTCATTTACAAGGATTTTCCAGAGGACTGATTAAAAACTCACAATTTGACTCTAATATTTTAAAGAATCCTTTACACACATCTTCCAGTGATATTGATAAATTCTTCGGGCACAGAAGATTTCATCATATAGACTAAAGAAATCCCTAAGAGCAGAAACATTTTCATCTGTTATATGCCAGCCATTTTTTGTTATCATTAATTTGCAAACAATTGCTTTGCATTGCAGCAATGTATGAAAAAGAACCTAAATTTAATAGAACAATATACCTTTGTGTTTCAACTGTGATTTTTTTTCAGCCTATACCAATAATAGTTAACTCGTTTATAAATCTTTTATAATCTGGCATTGGATTATTTAGAAACGATATATAATCTGACAGAAAATACTACAAATAATAAGTTAAATTCATGAAGTATAATTGATATTCAACTTTGATAATATTTTCTTATAAAATTATCACTATTTTTTCTTTGCCTTGTAGGATTCTTTTCTGTGAATCTCACTGACACCACTTACTATGACCAGCCACTGTTCCAATATGATTTATTGGTAGAATGTCCGCCCACATTCCAGTTGACCTTCAGTATTCCAACTTCAGATGCTGCCAATGTGGAGAAAGCATTTACTGCCTCCATCAGGGATGCAAATGTCACTTATCACCTAACCATTCACAGGCCTCCCCAGGATTTGCCCCAGGAACAACCACTGACTCCTGAAGAAGAAACTCCAGGTAATTAAACCATCCAGCAACAACATATACTTCACACATCAAAAATCAACATTTATGTTTGTTTTCTATATTTATGTAGAATACTTTTTTAAAGTGAAAAAGTTGAGCAAATGCTTTAATGTTAGAGATCTGAAACCTTTCTAAGCATAAAAGAGTGTGTATGTAATCAGACACACACATACACATTTCATGCTTTAAATTATACCATTTATTTTGAAAATTCATAAAAGAATGTGTATGTAAACAATTACATGCATTCACATGTCATGCTTTAAATTGTATCATTTATTTTGAAAATTCAACTGTTAATCTACAGTTACAATAAGAAAAATGATAAACTATTAATAACAGGTTTATTGATTGTGAATTACTAATATTTATCTTTCTTATATTTAGCAGGGTTATCATTGTCATAAGAATACACACTTTGTAACACTTTCAGTGTGAGACTGTTGGCTAGTTCAAAGTTAAAAAGATCAAATGTAATTCTAGACACATAGTACACTGGCTATGCTCTAAGTCATTTAATTCACATTTAATAAGGTTCTACAGAAAAGAGTTTACATCAAAATAAGCAAATATAAGCATTCTATCAGTCAATAAGTAATTAAATATCAAGGTGAATTAAAATAAAAGTATTTTGTGTCCCACTGAGAGCTTATACTTTTTTTTATGGGACCTACTTACAAGTTTGTTTTAAGATCAAATGCCCATGTGGATGTATAACCTGCTTATTTTCTTTTTAGAATCTCCTGATTACAATAAACTTATCTGATTGTGATTTTCAGCTAAGAAACTTTAAGTTCTATTTCTGGGATTAGATTCATGACATCCAACACATAGTCCTGACTTGTCCCTGTCAGACTGTTATCTGTTTGTCCTCCCCCACTCAAACATCATTTATCCAGAAAGCAGATTCAAACAGATGACACTTTTGTTGCAGATGTGCAATCATAACTCCATTTGCTTAATAACACTTTCTTTTAAAGAAGATATTTATGTACTTATGCATCAGTGGGACAAGTACATCACTTCCAATGGCAACCATGGGGAAAAGTTACAATAATAGTGTTAGTAACATATTCACAATGTTTTATTTGTATAATAATAAGCATGTTGGATTGGTAAATGTTTCTACCTAACTTTTCTGACATGCTTCCTATAATGTGATTTATTTTTTTAACAATGCAGCAGTTTCAGTGACACAGCATCTACAGTATGTGCAAATCTTTTTGTGTCTTATTACTATTATTCCAATGTTTTACTGTTGCTTTTGCTATTTTTTTTCGATAAATGCTTATTGTATTAATGTAAAAAAAGTATAATCTTGTGAGCAATTGTATATCTAGTCAAATCAATGGTCAGTTAAAATATTAAAGTTTTAATTATTTTTTACTTATATTTGCATGACTAATGCAAAAATATTAAAACACTTATATTTTGTTTTCATGAATAACATCTTCTATGACTTTTCATACACATACACACTTGCCACAGACAATATGCTGATAGTATAACACAGCATTTATAAATTTTTGTTTGCTGATAAATTAGAGCACTTCCTGACACTTGGTAACCAGCTCAAGGGTGAATATATTTATGACACTCCATGTAGCATAAAATCCTTATATTTTATATTTACTCTTTATTCCATCATTTCAGACTTTTTCTTCTTTCACTGTGATTAATTTTAATAAATAAATGATTATTTTTCAGTTGTTGACGAAGATGGATATGATCAGAAAAAGCCATTCTTCTCCAGCAGTGGTAGTTTCTTCATCCCCTTCATCGCTTCCATCTGTGGCGCCATCATTATACTTTTGTCTATTGCTGGCTTTGGGATTGTTGCCAAGCAAGGTGAGATGCTTAAAAATCCTGGCAGGCTGTAATGGATCATATGACAAGCTACTTAATAGATGTGCAAATATGTTTCTATTACAACATGAATACAGAACTAGATTAATCTGGAGAGTAAGATTTTGTAATACCAATTTTTCTAAATGGAAACTAGTTTTCGAAATCTTGACTTTTATCAGGGATTAAGCACAATCCTCTTGCACCTACTGGAAATACGTAACTATTTTCAATCATGTGGCAAATTACAGCAGGATAGTTCTTATTCACAATCATAAATACTGAATCAGTTACCCTATTACAATCATTATTCCAGAACATCACTGATGATGATGTGTAAGCACTAGGGAATGCTGGGAGTGAAAAGAGAACATGGATGTTTTTGAAATAAAACAGTTGTTGATTTTAGCATGTCTCATGTCTCATATCAACTTTTTATTGATTCCACTTTTAGCAGCCAGTTTCATGAAGTCTAATCTTTTACCTTAAACACAGTGGAACAGTCATACACTTTAAGTAAAATTTTCAAGAAATTTAAATTTGAAAAATGTCCTTTTAGTATATCATATTATCGAAATGGTTAACATCATTGTACTGATTTTTTTTCATGTTATTGCTTTGAGAAAAACAAAACTCTACTTCAGAAGAACTTTTGCTTGAATCTTTTACAGATATAAAAATATGCTTTCTTTGCTCCCACATTCTCTGTTTCAATTTTCACTTCTTTTCTGTTTTTTATATGGCAACACATATTTGTCAGAAACGATTATACTATTTTAAATAATAATAGTCTTTTAGAAACATTTACTTTATTGGAAAAATACTACTTTTATATCTAAGGGAGTTTATTGCAATACTGTTGCAGTATAATATCACATTTTTGGCATATACAAACATTACACAAAAGGAAAATTTAAATTTAGATTGTAAATTTATCTAAAGAATGTTCCAGTGAAGAATAAATTTAGATGTATTCCACTTTAAATTTAGCTTATGGATACTTTTTCAAATTTTTTAAAAAATTGAAGTAAAAATAAAATTCAGAATATAAAAAATCCTGTAGATTTCTTACAATAATATAATTTAATAATACAGATCTCAGACAGCATCAACTGATATTATTTTACACAGTATGGTCAGTATAGATGTTATAAAGATTTATATCAAACCTGTTTAGCTATAAATGATGCCCAAAACCAATTTGGACAAGCCTTGTCAAAAGTGTTCTAACCATGTAACATTTTTCAATTAAAGATGAACCATTCACCAGGTATCAAAGATTTGGATCTTTTCGTAAGTGATTGATTATCACTGTTATGTTTTTCACATAGTAATCAAATATTCCTTTCACAATATCTCCTTCCATAACTTCTTGCTTCTTTGTCACAAACAACTACAGGATATTGCAATAATTGCCTGTCCACAAAAGCTTCCACTTGTTCATTATCTCACCATTGACTCTATATTGTCTCTTGTTTTTTTCAAAGCTTATTTTAATTAACTACTTGTAATATTTAGAAAAGAAGACTTTGTTTTCTTAACTCATAAGAACAACCTGCTCTTGACTGATAAATTTTATAGCATCTACCTAGACTGAACAAAAACTAATTTCTACTTGCAACTACCCCAGTCCTACCTTTTCTTAGCTTCATCATTTTTCCGTATATCATTGTATGTAAATTACATTGACGAATTATAAATTTTCAATTATTTTAACCCAATCTATATTAGCTCTAGATAATAGAACTTAAACTAATTCTCATATTTTGTGCTTGCACAGTACTTGAAAAAAATTTTAGAAAATGTCTCCCCTCAGTCAGTTGCTTTATCTAATTACTTATGCTATTATAGTAAAAAAAATACTACTTAACAGATGAAGTTAATTCAAATGTAAGAACACTATTCATTTTATACAATGTTACATCATGCATTTATTAATGCAAGTTTATTTTTATTCCATAGAATTTGCTGTAAGCATTACATAATTTTTTATATATTGGATGGCATTATTGAAATTTTTAAAGTTAAAAAATATCAATGCTTAAAAGTAAATTTATATATTTTACAAATGACTCATTGGATAGACATAACATTTTTGTTACTCTTGTAGACCCAAGCCAGATTTGTTACAATCTGCTTAAAACATTTATACATGTAGTTTCATGTTTATTAGAGCAAACATCTTCAAGTCAGTTTATGTACCCATTGTATATACTCATATATAGAACATTATTATTGCCTGGTAAAAAGCATAAAAAAATTAAAGTTGTTATAAATTATTATAATAATGTTATTACTGCCATAACTACTGCGAATCTTGATTATGACCACATGAAATGTTGCAGTATTAATTTGGAAAAACGTATGGCTTTTTTCAGCATACATTTAAAACTAGAAATTGCTATTATCATGGTTTTATAGTTATTGCCACTTATATTATATTATTTATTTAAATGTTAACACAAATCCAACTTTTGAATTTGCTATTGATAAAATAAGAAATCAGTTCATTTGCATATTTTGGATAAATTTATCATTCTGAAATTTACATTATGGATGTAAATTTCCAAGTTTTGCATAACATGGCCTAAATTATTTTGGACAAAATGTTCATGTCAGCTTTATAAGCTATCAACCAATATGGAGAGATTCATTTCCTTTAAAAATGACTTTACTATTTTTATTTTTAGTTTAAATTCTATATTTTATAAAATTTAATATTTTGGTTGATTTTTATCATATTAATAAACAATTACGGAATCATTTAATGACAATCATTTGGCCAACTGTTGTACACAGATCCAAATTTAACATCTGTTGAATCTTCCTAAATGTTTGTAATATATGTAAAGTTCAATAAACAACAGCCAATGTACTTCCTATATACAGATAGGTACTTGTTGAAATTTATATATAAGAAATGCCCTGATGAATTTATGAACATATATTTTTTTTAATTTAGCAAACCCATAATTATGTACAGATTTTAGATTTTGCAGTATACAATATATGTGTTACAATAATATTTACAAACATATCTTCCATACTTTTACTTAAAACCTAACAATTTTTTATAGCAGAAAATTCTATAATAAATGTTTGAACTAAAAAGTTTCTCATCAAAAATACTCATAGTGATTATTTGTATCCAAGCATTACTATTTTTAAATTAATAATTTGAGTTTTCATGAAATAATTATAATATCCTTTTAATGGTTTACATTTGAAAATGTTTCTAACTAGAATGTTCTCTTCTGTTTCTTCTGTACAGGCTGCATTGATGCAAACGAGGTGTCCTTATTTAACCAGAGACATCTTATGGTTTCTGTTGTCTACTTCTCATGTCAAGTCTTCTACTCTACATTGGTGACTCTCACCTCCTTCATGGTTATAATCTATGCCATCAACAAGTAAGTTAATTGCTTTATATTTGTAATTAAACTATAACTGAAACAACTTTTTTTTTTACTTCTTTCATAAAGTGAAAATACTCTTGTCTATTGATTAATCTCATATATCTTCATATATCTCATTGTTTGCTAATGGAGGAAAATAATAGATATTTGCAATTGTAAAATATTCCTGTAAAATTAATTACATCTTTAATTTTTAGTGAAGTTTTAATATTTTTATTAATTTTCATTCAAGCTACCTTCATTTACTTGTACACTGAGTGAAATTACACCTTATTTAGATTAATACTCCAAAGTTGTTTTTTACATCTTTGAGACTTACTCAGATTGTACAGAGTTTTAATAATTAATTGTGAAAAATAAATGACAAATTTATTTGTTGAAGAATATTTGGTGATGAAATATAGTGTGTGCATAAGGTATTTCCTCTAAAAAACAAATAAGAATATACAAACATTTATGTACAATTCACAACATATTTTATTGCCTAAGCAAACTAAAATAGAAAGAATACAATAAGGGTGAATGAAAGTGTTGATATAGAAATGTTTTTATTGTACATATGTATGTGAAGTTCTTATGAAATATTATGACAGATTTATATTTAAGACAATCTTTTTATTTGTTGGTTTATTAGAATTATTAGATATGTCTGTCTGTAGTCAAATAAGATTATGGCATTGTATGCTGTGTACTATGCTGTGTTGTGTTTAATGAGATATGAGGCTTGCTAGAGACCAAAAATGAATGAAACATGTCTTATCTCTAAGTTATCCTATAGGAAAAGAGAAAGGGGGGAGACTTTTATGCCTTTTTTTTGGCAATACCATTTAGTGATTGTTTGGCAGAAATGTTTTGGCAGACAATTGGGGTAAAACCACAACTTATTTATGGTGGTTATAATATATGCAATTAACTCTGTTTTCTATTCATATTTATTCTGGGAAAATCACTGTGGAATCTAAGCAATGGATTTTAGGGTTTTTAGCAATAATAATCCAGTAGATTCAAGCATGTGACAGAAATCTTTTGCAAATTTTAAAAAAGGTGATTTAAATTTAAATGCAAAAAATGGTTTTGAAGACATCAGAATTGAAAATTGATGAAATGGAGATGTACTACAAAAATCACATGAATATGTAGAAAAATCAATTGCATGATATCATATACAAATCTAATGGAAAATTTACAATCATAGATGAATCTTTTCCCTTTTATATCAACTTATTTTCATTAAGGAAGTAACCAATGTTACTTTTTCATACATATTTCATAGGAAACAAATAAACTAATACATTCTTGCAGTATTGATTCATTACAGATCATATTGTCTAATCTTAACTATATTTTGATTTTGAGTTTGTAGGTTTTTGTTTTTTTTAATTTCTGTATGAATTTGAAATAAATGTTTTTTGTTTTTTTTTTCCATCTATCCAGAGATCCTCTCACCTTCCTGAGTCAGTACGATCAACTGTCTATAGTCAAGTCCAGTCTGACTAAACTAGAGATGAGTACAATGAAACTATACTTGCAAACCGAGCTGGAACGTCAGCATGCAGTCGCTAATCAGACAAAGGGTGTTTGTGAGGAACAAATGATGAAAGTAGCACAAGGTCTCAATGAGGTATGAATGCATTATATGATCATAAATACATGTTTGTACATTGTTATATGCTATCTATTATCGTGATCAATAAGAGTTTTATAATTTACTAGCAGTAGAGCCCGGCATTGCTCAGGGATGTAACAGTAAGAGATAGATCACGTATCGACCATCATAAAGACTGAAAAATAAAATTGACAAAGGTTTAAGGTTGACAGACACGCATGTCTTAATTAGGTTTTTTTTTTGTTTTTTGTAGTTTTTTTTTACGAATTGGTCAAACCCAAACTCAAACAAAAACATTTTCAATCGTTATGAGTCTACCGATTGAATAGAATTTTATTATAAACAATTGTCTTGTAAATGGAATTTTTAAAGCATTCTGAATGTAAAAATAAAGAAAAAAGTGTGCAAGACAATAAGAAACACTACCTGCCAAAAAAAAAGTGAAGTTTTGTTAAATCAGTTGAAAAATGTAGGAAATCCGATCCCATATATAAACGAACACACACACACACACACACACACACACACACACAACCTGGATTTTATAATAAGTATAACTCGATATGAGTTGTCCCTCTTTCATTCTCGCGACAGCGATGCTTCTTAATCGTGTTTTCAAATTGATTTCGTGCAAAAACAATTGTGTTTTTCCAATTTTTTGGTGCTGTCAGAACCACCGCAAGGTAATTTTACATAGTCCTGTGAAGTTTTGTTGAAATTGGTTGAAAAATGTAGGAAATCCGATCCAATATATAAACGAACAGACACACACACACACACACACACACACACACACACACACACAACCTGGGTTTTATAATAAGTATGAGTTTTAAAGTCTTCTAGACAATAGATGAAAAATATTAGGCCCCAAAATGCAAAAGATTTCATACTTCAACAAACATTTACAGAATCAAGATGAACAGTGAAAAAGGATAACCTTGCCATATATAAAATGGAGAGTCAGGTGATTGAAAATGATGTTGATGCAAAGTTGTTAAGTTAGAAAGCAGAAATCATTACATTAAACTGATCAGGAAAATAGAAATTTTACATTTCAAAAGACCTTGTTTCTTCAATATGTTTTTTTTTTTGCATATTACACTGGTAAAGGTTTTAACTTTCATAATATATTCAGATATCAAATTATATTCTTTCAAGCTAAGAATATTTAAATATACTCACAAAATTTTATAAAGAAAAAAATTTATTTTTAATTTTACATTGATTAAATTTGTAATTTTACATATATAAATTTACAATGAAATTTGTCATTGGGTAATATTCATCTCCTTATAACAGCATAAAAAATTTTGTCTTGTAAAATCCACTGTGAAACTAATTAATTTTGGAATTTAGTGAATATAAAAACATACCTAAAAAAAACTTTTAAAAAAATGATAAATATCACCTCATTGGTTGTCAGCCATGAATGAAATCTTTTTATATCAGTTTATTATACTTAGAATTAGAATATAGCAAAACTATTTTGTACATTTTCATATCCTCAAACACAAATAAAAAAAAATATAGTAACCTGGATGCACACAGACTTATAATACAAAACTTTTCTTTGTACTTATATTAAATTAAGTATGGAGTATATGAAAAATATTTCTTGTTCTTAAGTTAAGAATATGAAAAACAAATGTTAATATATTTTCTGAAGTAACTGAAATTATGTTAAGGAAAGAAGAAAAACACATGTTATTACTTACCAAAAGATTGTATATTTTTATTTTATATTAAGATAATATATATGATATTCATAATATTTCCCTTGCATATCTGCACTTGACTATTTTATTATGCTTCAAGAAACAATTTTGGCAGTGTGACAATTTATTTCTGCATTGTTTATTTTTTCTCAGTTGAAGGGGAATTTGACCAAAGAAGCCAAGGAAGTGATGTCGCAGGAGAACTTAAGTAACTTGATCAGGAATCATACACGTCGTGTTTTAGATGAATTTTTAGAAAAGATTATTGTGTACAGGTCAGTAATATTAACACTGTTGTAAGGTGTTTATTCTTTTCATGCTATTCTAAAAATATGCAATATCATCTTTCACATCTTAATGTGTATCTTTTAATGACATTGTGTTAGCATAATTTTTTATCTATTCATATAAATTGCACTCAGTATATTTATATATAAACATAACACAAAAATTTTACAAACTACCAGGTTATTTTTTAAGAAAAGTTATTTTATGAGAAATGGATTATTTCTTTTTTTTTTTTGACATTTCAAGTATTAAAAACTTTCATCCCATTTGTTTACATTGAACTAAATAAAAGCATTTATATATTTCGTTACAATTTAATGGTTGCAAAAGCACTCACTTCAAATGAGAATAACTTCCTATTTGTCCTCTCTTTAACAACTGTTGTATTTAGTAAGAAACAGAACAACATTTTAAGTATTATATATGGGGCTATTTTAATATTATGCATAACTTGAGTAACTTTTCTTGTGTTCTACATTTATTTGTTCCTGGTTTATTTTTGTTTTTTGCATTATCTAATGATATGCTTGGTCAAAATATCATTTGACTGAATCAGTGTTTAACATAGAAATGATATTTAGCTTATGCCAAATTATTCATTCTTCATTAATCTGTGCAATACAAGTTGCACACTTAAATAAGCTTACAAATAGTATCAGAAACTATAGACTATAGACCTTTTGGCCAATGCATCTTTTTTATTCAGTCTGTCATAATACTGATATATATGTTGCTTTCAATAATTCAGTTATATTGTAAACTAAGTGCTAAACTAAGTAACACTCTCAGTTCAAATAGATTCTGTATGTCAGAGTGAAAAGCCTATATCCATTAAAATAGTAAAACAGCCAGATCACTTGATAATAAGAGTTTCTTGGTTGATTTTGTGTAATCAATCATCATTATTCTCTGTCATATTCACTGAAAACTGGAGATCAAATTGAAGCAGTTAATAATATTTATCACACCTTAAAGTTCCTGCTTAGATTCATCCTATTGTACCACAAAGAAAATTACATCATACAGAATGATCCTGTATTATGACAATTAAATAGAAGCAACATAAGTTATATTATTTGCTTTGGATAATTTCAATTAAACTTCAATTTAAATACTATGCATTCTTGACAATTTCAAGTTAGATTATAAAAGAAATTCTTAAATTACATGCTCATAAATGTAAATACTGACAGTATCTGTTTGTGAGTATTGATAATAGTCAGTCTAATCTGACATGACTGCATTTTATTATATTTATATTATTGATTTCTATCTGTCAAAAACATTCAAAAATTATCAAATTATAATCAAATATTTTAATCAAATTGAAATTTAACCTGTTTTTATCCTGAAAGTATTTCTTTGTTCTTGGTTTGAATGTTTGCTCAGGTATTTTGTTTAATCATTATGCAAAAGCAGTATTCCTTTTTGAAAAAAAAATGAGCGGATATTTGGTAGCTCAAAAAAATTATGAATTGATATCCTTTCTTATTTATTTTTGTTCCTATTTTTTTCATTTTTTTTCTTTCATTTCATTTCAGGGACCGGCTAAACAATTATGTGAATATTATACAAAAACGACTCCAATTTGATGTACGGCAGACATATAACAGTGTGATGGAAAATCGCTGGTTGACCGGGGCCAAACATTTACACTCAGATATCCAGCAAAAACGACAAGTCCTACATTCAAGTCCTCTTCCAACACGTCCATATGCTGAATGGATGCAAATAGAACCCAACATTTCTAATCTGGCACAAGGTAGTAAATATGCAAATGAACTTTTATATCAGCTACAAATAAATTTTGATCTAAATACCAGGAATTCAACAACTAATTCATATGTGAGCTCAGATAATTATAAACTATTTTAATTTGAGAAATGTGTTTAAAATATCTTTAAAGCATTTGCTAGCTAACCAAACCTTGTATATAACTATTTTATTGATAAAGTAATTAAACCAACAATAAACCTGAAAACATTTTAGCATTTAAATGTCCATACATGTAGTGAAAACATTTTCTAACACCTGGGCAACAAAAAAACACCTTTCAGTCACATGTTCCAGTGATTTTTCTCACTTGAAAAAGGTGGGGATTCAAAGAGAAGCTGGTATGTCCTAAGTGTTTAACATATCTAAACAAAAATACCAGGAAATAAAAGCTGAAATTTGGACCTCTTGTCTCATATCATTTTTTTTAATTGTTTGCCATAATTTTTAAAAAAAATTATAAATTGCAGCACAAAGACTAGCATAACATATTTTACCTATAAACTTCTGGACTTCAAAGAAATTTAGTTAATCTCAAGTTAAATGATCACAATGTAGACTTTTCTTTTTTCAAAAAAACATTCTAGATTACTGGTGAAACAGGTCAATATAAAAAAAATTCCTCTATATAAGGAAATATTTTATGCCTTTAATATTTGGTCTTCAATAAGCTGTTGTGAATGCAAATGAAATCCTCAAATCATGAAAAATATTTCCATTATTATTTTCCCATTATAATTAGAAGAACAATGATATATGGAGTAAAATAATTACTGATATACCAATTCAAAGGAATAACGTGCTTCTAAAGTATGACTAGATAAAGTAATACATAACATATCAGTGATAAGACAAGGCTGTGAGGAAAGAAACTTTTCTTTCCTTTTTTTTAAACATTAAAACTGAATAACTATTCATGAACAAACAGAATTTAATATTTTGTCAGCTTCAGGGTTACTATTCATTTTGTTCTTGACAGAAATGATCTCAATTTTTTCAAGGCCATGAAAAGACTCAGAAAATCAGTAAATGAAATGGATATAGTTTCCTACTTGATTGGATGTACTTTCTGACTATAATAAATGACACTTGGGCTTTATTATTTTTACATAAGCTGAAGAATCTCTCTCACTGATCATAGTGATTCTGTAATGAGGCTGCACAGTGGAATCTTTCTATAAAAATATTATAATAGAAATCAATGAGTCAATGCCTTTTTAAAAATTTATAAGGACATTTCTAGTCTTAAACTTAAGTTCATGCAAAATTTGTGAATTCTCTCTTAAATCGTAAAATATCTACTTTTTCTTCTATCAGATCTTTTATATTTTTCTCTTATGATTTTAAATTATTACTTATCATTACAGGATTAATGTTATCTGTCCCAAAGCTACCTCGTTTTGATGAGGTATTCAAAGAAAAAACCACTCCCATCACAGGTTTCCCTGAGGCTATTGTAAATAAGTCTGAGCCAACCAACTACACACGCAATCTATGGTTTTATACTGAGCGCAAACATTCAGTGGGCCACCGTAACATGACTGACTTTATTGAGAACTCTTCTAAAAAGTCCAGCAGTAACCAGATATTTTATACATTTGTTGGAATTATGGTAATAATTGATGTCATGTGGTTTCTACATCGGATGGTGAATATCATGAGAACAACCCGTCTCTTGCTGTATGGTTATCCAGTCTATGTTGATTGCAGAGAAGGAAAAGGTTTGCATTTTATTAAAATTAAACAAGTATCCATTTCTTTTTGCAGATTTTGTGATGAAGTAAAATACTTCAAGAAAATCAATACTCTTGTTTGTAGAACTTATAGATTCTTTTTGATTTATCAAGGGTTTTTTTATCTTCCATTTAAATTTTTAGTTCAGATGAAATCATTTCATTGAAAAATATATGCCCATAAAAGCTACCATGATCTTTTACAAATGATTATGTTGAAGGCTGCATTGTATTTTATCATCTAACTCTTGCTGTTTATTTGAATATTGGCTGAGTCATTTATTTTAAACTTGGAAAGACATTTAACTGATACATAATAACTAGAAAATACCACAAAAAATAAGATAAAAATATGCTTTCATAATTTAAGTACCAAATAATTTTTTATTAATTATCTTTTTAAAAAAGAAGTTAAAAATAATCAATAATATTTCAATAAGATGGTGTGTTTTTAAAGGTTATCAAAAGGAAAATAAGAGAGTAGACCTTGTTAATAGCAGAAATCTGTATACTACACTGGTGTAATAGATGTTTAACAATTGAATAATTAATTGCTGTCTTTAAATCTCTTCATTATTTCTCTTTTATCTAAATTCTTCTTAATATTAATTGTGACTTATTGAATGTGCCAGTTGATTTTTGTTGAGAAAAATGACTGAATTTCAGTCAGATTAATTGAAATGTAAGTTAATTTATTCATAAAAGAAAAAGAATTTTGATTGTAAACATTTTTACTACTGTTTCTGTCTTAATCATTTTTTACACTTCAGGAAATTTTGATGTTTATTATAAAACATACAGCTTTATTCTCTGAAAGTCTGGAAACATTAATGCTATTATTTAAAAATGTCAGGATGTCTGTATTGAAATTGAGTTTTCAATATATTTAATGTAACATTGGTTGTTTGTTGATGCTTAAAAGTTTTCTTCTAACAGACCGAGGCTTACCATCTGTTGACAATGCCCATCGAAAGCCCAGCACCTGCTGCAAGTCTACAAAAAAACGATGTTGTCATGCTGTAAGCAAATTCATTACCAAGGTAAAACACCTTGTCACAATGTTGAAACAGTTTTGGAAGTTGAAGTGAAAAATGATCTGTTCAGCTTTTCTTTTTGTTTGCATGCATTTTACAATTTATATTGGTAACTTATTGGTAACACACATTTCCCAAGAGATTTCAATTGCATTTGATATTTTAAGAAAAAGTAGTGAGACTGTTTTTTTTTAATTCATCTGGCATTTATGTTATAACCAAATTTAATAAAGACCTTAAAAAAGATACTTTGAAATTTTTGTAAATTTAAGAAATTTCAAATTAATCTGTATCTTAATAAGATGATATATTAAAATATGGAGTATTTCAGACATAAATGATAAGTGTATCTATGTTTGCATTACACATAAGTATTACTTGGTTATCATTAATATGAATAATATTGCTATTGTTTCTATGTACTTATTTCAAGTGATTGAAATATAATTGTATGTAAACTTAAAGCTCTTTAAAAGCTGGAAAAATTTTAATTTGTTTAATTGATTAAAAAACTGTTGCTATATTTTCAATGCAATATGTTTAAAAAGTAAAGCTATTGTTGACAAACAATTTAATCATATATTATACATTGTTTGTCTAACCAATTTGTTAAAACTATTTCCTGACCCCAAATTATATTATATGTTGTGATGTTTTCTAGTCTTTGATGTAGAAGTTCTACCTCCATACCAAGTGATAACTGACTTATTAGTAGTAGCTTGACTCTATACAAAATAGTCCATTTTGCCTATGTCACTACATGTCCTGGAAACAAAGAGGTTTTATGACCTTCGTTGATCTGTGACTTCTCTGAACAATAGTACAAGATGTTATCTCACTCTCTCCCAGATATGTTATTTTTTTGCAATTTAACACACATTTATCTTTGTTTATAGGCATTCCAGCATTTTTTAATTTCCATTTCTTGTTTTAGCTCTTCTATACTGGTAGCACCAATACATATATTGTCTTGAGAGATGATCATATTCTTAACATCACTAGTTAGTACTTTTTCAATGACTCTTTGAAAAATAACACTTGTATTTTTTACACCATAAGGCATATGCTTCCATCTGAGTAAGCCTTTTGGAGAGTTAATCATAATGACCTCTTTAAATTTTTCATCAGCTTGTATTTGGTTATAGGCTGATATGAGGTCAGTTTTAATAAAGTATTTAATTCCCAACAATGCATGAATAGTAGTTTCAATGTTAGGAATAGGGAATGAATCATAGCATATTTTGTGGTTTACACTTTTTTTTTACAATCCACACATATCCTTAAATCTCCATCCAGTTTTCATAAAACAACAATGAGTGAGGCCTAATTACTACCACCAGGAGAACATGTTCTAAAATTCCTTGCTCCACCATTTTTTTTTAGCCACTACTAAAGGTAGCATGTGAACGGGCAGTCTGTGAGACCAAAGTAAGAGAGGGTGACTATTTCCTTTAATTGAATACTCTCTTTGTATCCTTTTAACATCCTCATGTCAATACTTGCCAACTTCACATTGTTAATTAATTTGGTTGTATTCACTTTCAAGACATTTATTCCCATGTGTCCCTGACTTTTTTTCACATTTCACTACCATGATGGGAATAATTTCAAAGTGTGTGTCAGTCTCAAAGGTTCCTTCAAAACAACTTAACATTTTAATGAAAGAGCCACCAAACTGCCTTAATTTAAGCCAACTTTTCTTTAATTTGGGCTTGACCATTTGTTCCTAAAAAAATTATTAGAATTAGGGTGAGATCACTCTCAGTATCTACTTACATAGGAAAAGTTATACTGTTTGGTTTAATTTTTTCTTTGGCATTTTTCTCTTTACATCTGTATTTTCGTGAGGTGGGCAAGGGTTAAATTTTCTTCCCTTTCTATTTTTCTTTTACGCTTGCACACAGACTGGAAATGTTTTTTCTTTTCATAATTCCAGCACAATTGTCCTAAAGCTGGACATTTTTTCTTTTCCTGTTTGTGTTTTTTATCACAGTATTTGTATTGCAGAAGATAATTCGATATCCTGTATTACTCTTGGATGTAATGGACTTTTCAGTTAACTCTAATTGTTGTAGAAACTGTATAGATATATCCAAAGACATTTTGGTCAGTTGTAACCGTTCTAAAATTTTGTGTTTGTACAAAGCATCACATATATCTTCAATTAATCTTAACTGTATTAACTCATCTTCAATGGTCATTTTTTCAGTAACAATTTTTTCAAACTCACAGAATCTGGAAGTCTCTCGTAGCTTGTATTATTGTTTTATTCAACTAGTGTTTGGTCATGAAAAACTTTGTCCTCTCAGCAATAACCAACTTCTTTTTTGGATGCAAATTTCTCTTTATAATATCTGAAATTTGTGAAAATGTCAAATACTCCAATTCTCTGGGATATGCCATGACAAATATTTCTGATGGCCTCACATCCTATACTATCCAAAACCCCCAAAAGTTCTGTAATCTCATTCTCCCTCCTGCATCTTTGTAGACTTAACTTCTTGGTGAGTGCCTGGACAGTAAAACAATGAATTCATATTTTCACAAAATTCAGCTTATCCAACAGTGTTAGAGATCCTATCAGCAATGCCATATTGTTGTGAAGCCTTCTAGTCTTTGACATGGAACTTCTACTTCTGTACCAAGTGACGACTGACTTATTGGTAATCACTTGACTCTATGTAAAATAGAGCAAGTCCATTTTGCCTATGTTACTACACTATAAACCTTTATCATATATCATAGTTATATATTTTAGTATAGGTTACTATTAGGTTAACAAATTAAAAATCACAGTATGCCTTAAAATTTTTCCATATAGTTCTAACATTCTCCTACATAGATTTTTTATTCTAAGTGAAAGCTGTTTTAACCATTCTGCCATAATTAGTAGTATTATTAATACCTACATATACATATATTTGTTATTTCATTTATTTGTACTACTATTACTAATATTATGGCTATTCCAGGAAATACAGAATCAAAGTCTCATCTTGTTTGTTAGATAAAAGAAAGCACATATTCTTGTTTTAGAAATTCTTATTTGAGGTGGTATAAAAAGTTGTATAGAATTTACAATAAGTAAACTTTCATCAGATTTCAAAAGTCACTGTCAAATTTTTCTCATTGCATAGTGTTGTGCTGGCTTGAACAATGACAATATTTTTATATTCTAAAGGAATAGATATTTATTAAATCGAAAATATATATTTAAAAATTATAAAAAATTTTAATTTAAAATAATTTATTTTTAAAAAATCAATAAAATTTACAGTATTTATGAATAATTTAACAAAAATTATCAATTTATATTATTAATTTTACTGCAGATATTCCTGTTGCCAATGAATTTTATAAAAATATTCTTTATTTTTTTACTTTTCAAAATATGTTTTAAAAAAACAGAAAGTTATCTAAACATTTCAAAGAAGTAAATTCTTTATTCTAAAATTAAATGGTTCTTAGATGACATATTCAGAATGTATTTTTAATGAAAATGATATTGGGAGAAAAATATTTCTCAGCTTCAAAGTGTCATCATTTTCCTTCAGTGCCATATTTGTTAACCCAAAGATAACTAAATTCATTGTAACTTGTTTAATTACTTGTGTTACTTCAATGATTTCTGTTATTATGCTTATTATAACTATTACTACTAAACAAAAACTACTACTACTAATGTTATTACAAGTTTTTTGACTTTGTTAGAACCATTATGTCTTAATATTAAAGCAATATTCAAGAAAATAAGTCAGCTACTCCTAATATATGTTTAAAGGACAAAAATTTAGAGTTAATTATCAGTAATTTGCAATATTTTAATTTTTTTAAAGTAGAAATGATTTACTTTTTTTATTGATAATTTTTATCTACATCTGGGTTCATGAATATTTTCCAAACTTCTTTTTACTATTTAACTTGCCTTACCCATATATTTTTTTTAATTTAGAAGTGATGCCATTCATTTCTTAATTCTTGTTTTCAAATTGTTTCTTGTGTAAGTACTTTTATCCTCAAGCAATATTCTCCTGTTTTGTTCTTTTTTTTCATCATCTGATATTCACATAAACAAAAAATGTAACAAAGATATTTTTATTGTTATAACTTTCATATCAATGTACCAAAAAGTATGTGTTCTTGAAAAAAATTGTAGTCAAAATTTATTCAGCTGTAATGCATGGCGTATCTCAGTGTGCATGTTATCCTTCCATGTTTATGTTTTCTTATTACTTTTTATCATTATAAGCATGAAATTATATAGAATACTATGCTATTCAATGACATTTTGAAAAAAGAAAAGTCTACATTGTGATCATTTAACTTGGTTTTAGATCAAACCAGTCAAAAGCCTCAATTAATTTTGGTGTTGCTTAAAAAAAAGATGAATTTGAATTGAAATACTATTATAAGTTAGTCATCGTGCATCAAATAATGTTAAGTTTCCAAATAAGACACTATAAATGTTTTAAAAATAATTTTACCTTGAATTGAATTTTTGCTAACACATTTTTCCAAATAACAAATTTTTAGAATATATTACTGAAATTATTCTAACATGTGAACAATTTAAACTTTCTATAATACATTTTTAAAAGTTATTTTAGTTTAAAAATTAGTTTACTTATTATCTCATAAAGAAGCTGCTATTTAAAAATTTCAATTTCTTGCTATGATGCTTTGTTTAAGTGCAAGTCTAAAGGCGTGTATCTGCCTCCAGTATTTTCCTCTCAAAAGCCACATAACTAAGAATGGTTTTCTTCTATATTAATTTTATTTTATTTCTTCTGTCCATATTAGCTGATTAATTAAAAATGATTTGAAAAATCTAATGTTCATTATTAGTAAATCAAAAAGCTATTTCAACAATGAATGCAATAATCAATGGCTGTTAATCTTGAATTTACTTTATTTCTGATATTTAACTAAATATTTTAATATTTAGTTAAATATCACCTGTAAATAGTTTTCTTTTTACTTAAAATAATTAAACATTCTCCTCATTTTTATGGATCAACTCAAAAGTTCTATAACAAAGATGAAAGAGACACATTTCTTTAGGTTACGATTCACTTGGTAGGACAAAAATTATACAAACCTGTATGATGCTATGGTAATGATGTCATCATAGCTGGAAAAATACTTTTGAAAGTTAATAAAGCATTTATATTATATAAGTAGTTCCAGAATGCATTTTGCTGTGTAAAATTCAAAATTTTATGAAACCATTTATATTGGTCACCAAAACTGTTTTTATGCAAGAAATAAAATCTTGTAAAATGTCACACTTGTGACAAATGTGACAATTTTATTGTTGTTTAAATAATTTTGAAACAAGTTTAGTTCTCTTCTGTGGATCATTTAAAATATATCAGCTTTCTTATTTGTCAGCATGGATGTTGTCTTTTATATTCTATATTCTTCCTCTTCTTCACTTAACAAAGATAAACTGTTTCAACTGACAAAGGTGTCTTTTTTCATTTTGCATTATGTTGGCATGGTGTTGCACAAGAGATGTGTAGTACCATCATAAAACTATTACATGGTAGAAAGTGTACCAGCAATCTTACAAGAAAAGAATAAGTATTTTAAGGAATGTGCCATAACATATTGTAATCTTTTTGAGCTAGTATAAAAAGAACTAGCTTGTATCTAAATTATTAACTCTAAAAAACACAATATGAATAAGCAATTGATAAAGTTATTTACAAGCAATAATGATGAATTATAGATATAAATTAGTGAATTCTAATGTTCTTCATTATCATCAGGTACCAATGATCTTGTAATAACTTATATGTTAGATATTGGCCACTTTTTCTTTAAATTTGAATCAACAGTTAAGAACAATAAAATAACAGGGTTTACTAATCTGGTTTCAATTAATTACGTTAATCACACCTAAAACTATTGATTGAACTTGTTGGATATTGAATATAACATTTATGTAAAGTAATTTCTTTTTATAACTTTGTCACACTACTAACATAATCATCAGTATGATCATATTCATCATCTTTCATCCTTAAAAATGCTCAACTATTCAGCTGTGCAAATTTTCTACTCTGTTTTAGTTTTGAAAAATGTATTTGATTATTATTTTAACTGCAATACTTTTCAATTTCATTTCCTTTCTAATTTCATGAGTTATAACTTTTCCATTTGTTTGACTTGCTTAAAACAATTAAATACAATCGTTTTTCATTAAAATAACTAAGCCTTAAAGTGCATGGTAATGTTTCCTTGTATTGCTATAACAGTCTAATTATGATTGCATTTGTATTTTCTTTGAAATTCTATTTACTTAACCAGGAACTATTTCATTTATATATATATATATATATATATATATATATATATATATATATATTCTATCATTTTATTCATGTTTTCAACTTAAATGTAGGCTTCTAAATGAATTGTCCTTATGTTTTGTTATTTGTCCTAAATAATTTTTTTATTATTGTTATTTCTATTTTAGCTATTTTTCTATTATTTAGCCAAACATGGAACAAATATTTGCATTATGAACATCTGCATGGCTCCAATCTACTTAAAATTGATTTTATATGTTAAAATGAGTCAACCATATCAAAATTGTATAAATTATTAAAAACAAAAATATGTCCAAATTTTACATAATTCATTTCACAAGGAAATCAGCCTAAAAGAAATTATACTTTGTTTTTTTATACTTTTGTTTTGTCTTAATTAATTTTACTTCACTTTGTTCATTTTTAAAATGGTTGCTTTAAATGCATTTAAAAGTGTTTTTGCTGTTACCAGGTTTATGCACATACCTGCCATTCCAAAAAAATATATATTGAAACTCTTTCTAGATAAATTCTGTCAAACAAAACTGTTCGGCAACTGAAATGTGGAGAACAGAGTTACTATCATAATTCAATAAAACTGTATTCTATTCACTCAATTGTACATTATAGTTCCTATATCATTGTTTATTATTTAACTTCATTTTAATTATGTGGTTTATTCTCTATCTATGCAGGATTTTTATATATATATATATATATATATATATATATATATATATATATATATATATATATATATACAAGCAAGTTTTCTTGAATTAAACTGATCTGGTCTGTTTAAATTTTTATTGTATTTTTCCAATTTACAAAAAAGAATATGATACAGGGTGCAATGGATAAATTGTCTGCATTTTATATTTTTAATTTTATGCATGCAAGTTGTTTGTTTTTGGTCTTGTTGACTGCACAGTTAGGCACTGTCTGTGAGAAAAGGAGCAACATGACACAATTCACTCCATCAGAAATTTACAAACAGCATGCTGTATTGCTTGGCATTTGTACCGGAAACTCCAATACAAACAGTTCAGAGTGTTTAGGTGTCAATCTGAGGACAGTGCAGAGGATTCAGAAAGAGCTGAATGAGTCTAATGATGACTAAGAAGGGATTTGGGGTGACTACTTGTGATGACAATGTTAGGCCTCCATACATCTTTCAACAGGGTCTCAGACTCATCACAGAGGGTTCCATCAAGTGTCTTGAGGAGGTAGTGCTGCCCCATTAAGAGGGTGGCTACTGGAAGACCCTATGTCTGTCAACAGGACTCTGCACTATGCCACACAAGCAGGAAACTCAGTCTTGGCTCTCAGGCAATTTCTGTGACATCTGGTTACCTAACTCCTCAGACTGCAACCCCCGTGATTATTGTGTGTGGGGCACAGTTGAGTGAGAGACAAACAAAACTCCTTGTAACACCAAAGATGAAATGAAGGCAATGTTTATAGCAGCATTCACCAACTTAAACAAGCAAACTGTCCAGAAGAGTTACAGGAGATTCCAAAGTCATCTGGAGACCATGGTTGGAGCCAATGGTGATTTTATTGAATAAATTTACGCTTTAGTATTTCAAGATATTTTTGTTTAATTTCAGTAAATATATCTGTTAAAATAAGATGTTGTCAGTATTATTTTCATTTTTGTGTAATTTAGACAATAATTTATCCATCGTACCCTGTAGATTGGAATCAAAATTGTGAATCAACTGTCCAAATTTCATAGTTTTTTTGTGTCCAAGTACTTTCAACTATTTCAATCATTCTGAAGAACTGGATGTTATCTGTATGTTAGATAAGATTATATCCTGGCATTTTGGGAACACTAGAATTTAAATTAATTTAAATATACAAGTATTGTATAAGTGATGTCATGTGTAAAACATTTACACAAACTGGACCTGCTTTGAACAAAATTTTTATCCTGATGCACAACAAAATTTGAAAAAAATGCAATAAAAAGTTAAACAAAATATATATGATGTCTTTCTATATATATATATATTTTAAATTTTTATCTGATACTATTTCTTATTATTATAAACATCATTTTTAGTAGGAACACATATTTGAGTTGCTATCCCTGTTATTATTTTCACTGTTTAATAAAAAAAAAAAAACAAGGATATCAACTCAAACACATGTTTAATACTCACTAAATATATATATATATATATACACACACACAAACACACATACTTCATAATTATTTTTATAAAATTTCTTAAAATGATAAGAAAACCACAGTTATATAAACTTGTTTCATTTTGTCAACTCTTTCCTGCTTTCCAGATCCTTAAAACAATGTTTGTTCCAAAGATGATAATTAGTCTTTTGATGTTGCTGTTTATCTACCTGACGTCAGCATTTAGTGAGAAACTTTTTCGTAGAGAGTCCTTCCAAGCTCTTGGCTATTATACAGATATAGTAAGTTTTTCTCCGACTTTCTATGTACAAATTATTTATTCTATGTTTTATTCTATTTATTCTATTTGTTCTATGTGTCTATGTAATTTCTGTATTCATACAGTAAAGATTGACAAAAGATTTAAGCAGTCATCTACTGTGTACCATTCACAGTAGGCACATAGGTACATTTTAAAAATAACAAACCATGAAGCACAATAATGATCAATTCCCTCAAAAGATACTTATATATGTTTAAATTTTTATACTGTGTATGCCTTTTGTAATATTTGATCTTTTGAAAAAGTTAAATTCTTATCAAGCAATACAACATTTTATGTTTTTTTCTGCAAATCTCTGTTTGGATAAAATAGAACTTGTAAGATAAGGTAGATTATTATTTTACATCTCGGTGTTATGTTCATAGACTTGTATATCAAAAGTTTTTTCTAATGAAGATTTAATGATCTGTTCACATCTCAGTAATTCATCAATAAGTTTGGTATATGCCTCTTTGCTCAAATCTGACAATGCCCTCAAAAACAGCTGATATTATTTGCTTTCCACTTAGCAATTATTGTACTAAGACATTATTTTCTATCATATTATTTATATTGTTTGCTTTTGCTTTTTATTTTTTTCACAAATATCTTCTTCATTAATTATGGTTTTCATTGTAGACAAGCCTTCTGGAATTAAGCCGTGCAGATATCAACAGCCGTATCCGCATGCATGCCACTCAGATCAATGCCATGGAGTACCCTATGTTAGAAGCATGGATGAACTCATATCTAAAGAGGCATTTGCATCTTCATGATGTCTACCAGAATTCTGTAAGGAAACTCTCCAAGACGCATAGCATCACATACTGCGAATATTTACAGCGCTATTTGCCTGATGCTAAGTGTACTGTCAGAGATTTAGCAGATTTCAAAGTTGAAGTGAAAGGATGTAAATTTCCACCTATTGAACCAAAACCTTATAAAAAGTAAGCTTTTGTGATTTCTTTTAATTTATATCAGAATATTATGATTATTGTTGTTGTTGTTCTTCTTGTTCGTTTAAAAGATCTTTCTATACATATTAGTATAAATAAAATATATTCTGTATGGATTATTTAGCTTCATGCAATGTTATGTATTATGAAATATTCAGAAGAAATGCTTTATTATATATGATGCTTTAAAGATAATCATTTTTGCATGCTTTATTGTATTTGCTACCATTATTTTTACTTGTAATCACTTTTAAATTATTTTTCAAATCTTTATGCATATTGGAATTGGTAGTGATATTTTAATATTGCTTGACTGGGCTAGTTCTTTTTTTTAGAATGTTTGTTACAGTTTATCTTATTCCAGTTGTTTTTATTTATTCCATATATTATTCAGACAACTTTATTGATTTTAATATAGCATTTTGGTTATGTTTGTCAGCTTTCTTTCCATATAATTTGGATCCAATCTTTACAATTCAATAAAGTGTGTTTTTTTTTTTCTTCATCCTTTTCTTCTCTTCAGCTAAAATATCATAATCCATCAATACCACCAGACAGAACATTAAAGGCTCATGTTAGTAACATGAAAATATGTCAGTTCTCTTGTTGGTTATTGTTGTAGGTGTTAATAGGTTAACAGCTAATAACCCTGAAATGGTTTTGTGTTGCTTTGTGACATATTTTGCCTTCAGTGGTAAAATTGATTTTTCATACTGCTACTTTTCATTTGATATCAAAATTTTATTCTCTGTTTATGTATTCAATTTTTATTAAATTTAGATGTACAGCTTCATTCACATTCTGAACATTGCAGTATTGTTTCCTGTCAAACTAGATTCTACTGTTAAAGTATTAGTTCTTACAAACACTGATGTCTGAAAAGTTAATTTGGTTTATTAAGTAAAAAAAGACTGTTTTTTTTCTTATTAATAATGATATTAACTTTATTGAACAACATATTTACTGTTTTTTTCACTCTTTTCTGCCATCTTTCAGTCAGTTTTATAATTTCATCTTTCCAGAACTTCTTATTTTCCTTGGAATAATGTTCTTGGTACCTTTTTGCAGATTTTTCTTGAATAGAATTAGCTAAACACCAGAACACATAGTGAACCGTTAAATATAGTGGATAAGTGAAAAGTTCCTAGCCAAGCTGTAATGATTTTTTCTTGGTTACTAATAAATTATGTCATTTAACATCATCCAATAGAACATTGATAACTCTCAAGTAATGTCTTGAGTTGGATGCTATGAACTCCAACCAATTAAGTAAACATACATTTTTGGGAGAAGAAAATTACTGATGTGTGATTGTGGTGTTGTACCCTCCACTTGGTTGAGGGAAGAATGCATTGTTCAGTTGAGGGGTGAGACTTCTGACATTTGAAAGGACTTGACAATTATCCATCTTTTGTAGTTTCTGAGAGGGTAGGGTTCAAAAGAGTTTTCTTCAAGACTTCATAGATGATCATTCTTATTGCTTGAAAAATAATTTTATTATTTTAATAGTGTCTCCATATATTTTGGAAAGGTTTTAATTTAAACTCGCAGAAAAAGTGTCATGTTATTTTTAACATCACTTTAATCTTAATAGTTATTTAATGACACAAACAAATAATTAAATTAAAAACAGGATTTTTTCAGAAATACATGTTAACTTACATTATTAAGCTATTACATGTTTTAATGTTGAACCCAAATACAAACGAAAAGGTCTTCTTCCAAAAGTAAATAAATTTAAATGAAATGACGTTTTTACATCATACCACAATTAACCAAAAAAACTTGCTCTTTAAGCTTGTTCTAACTTTAATCAGAATATCACAAAATGATTAAACTTGTTGAAGGCATCAAAATAAGGTGAAAGCATAAAAAATATTTTTAAAAATAAATAAGAAAGCAGAATTAAGATTCTGTCATTTCTATTGTTTCAATTATTTATGAAAACACAAACTTTTATTATTTATAAATGAAATCACACACACACACACACACACATATAATTCACTCACACAGATATGCAAATTCATGCACAGGTACTGTGACAGATAGAAACCCAGCCGACAGAGTTTAACCTTTCTTAACTGTAGCAATTTGTTTGCCAAAAAAAAATTAATCTTTAGCTTTGAATCAGATCAAAAGAAAAATGCTGACACTGTCTTAAAGCATTTCAGTATTAACCACTTAAACAAAAAAACAAAAAAAGAAATATCTCACCTAACTCAGATGACAGCCCTTCAAATTTTACAATTTCAATTTTTTATTTTATTTTAGGAGCAGGAAAAGAAGTGGATTATCACTCCTTTGCCCCTGCTCCTTATGAAAAAAAAAAGTGTCCCTTCAATTCTTGGCTCTAGCAAAAAGGAGCTCCTTAAAGCACTTGCAGGACAAATGTTTTGGCCAAACCAGTACATTATATTACATTTGAATAGTTGGAAATAGTAGCTATCAGGAAAACAAGAAATGTGGAGGGATTTCCACAAGCGAGAAGTGCAAGACATGAAGCTATTGGAGTAGAAGAGACGACTATATTTAACAGTTTTGACAGTGAAAGGGTGAGAGTGAGATGCCAGCCTAGTTGAATGCCTAAATTCATGAAGTCTGGCAACCAGCAAAAGCAGCTCATTGGAGCAGTTACCATGAAAGTATTTGTAAAAAAGACAGAGGGAGGCAATGGCACATCTGTGAGAGAGCGGCTGCAGATGAGATGCCAGATCAGGGCCAATTACATTGCATATCCATCTTTGGATTTTATCAAGGACCTTGAGACAATTAGAAGGGGCTCCAGACCATGTATGGCAGCAGAAAAACTTCCTGGCACAGCACAGTGAGCCAACTTTCCTAGCGGTGAACGAAGCTATTTACTCAGTGTATTCATTCCATCTCATGTCAGCGGACAATGTGAGGCTGAGCAGTTGCAAAGAGGTGCTCTCGTGGAGTTGAGCATCAGACATTCTAATCGGAGGCAGGGATGGTTCTCTTTGGTGAGTAATAGAGAGCAATTTTGTTTTTGAGGCATTAAAGTTAACCAGCCAATTCCTGCCCCAGTCCACAAATGATTGGAGGTCCTTTTCAATACAAATGGCCAGGTTAGTTTTGTCGGCAACACTAGATTTGTTTTAGAGGCAGGAGTAAATAATAGTGTCGTCCGCATACATGCCTACTTGGGAACCTAGTTGATTAAAGCTTCAAAGACTTTGCCAAAGAGTGGTAGGAGAGTGATAGGACAGTAATTTGAAGGGTCAGAAGGGTCTCCAGAGTTCTTAAAGATGGGAACAACGGATGAGGAATTCCAACAGGGTGGAAAACAAGGTTCATTGAGGCAGTAGTTATATAATTTGGAGTGGGCAGAGGCCAGTTCAGGCACACATTTCTTCAGGACAATGGCTGGTATCCCATCTTCACCACTTGCCTTGTGGGAGTCTAATTTAGAGATGATGCTCAGAACTGATGACAGGGTTATGTGCAAGTCACTCAATTGAGCCTCAGTTTGAAGGGGGAAATCAGGTGTGGGTACACCAGAAGAGTCAAGTGTTGAATTTAATGAGAATTTCTGAGCAAAGCATTCAGCCTTGTCGGCAGAAGAGGTCAGAACCTCAAACTGGTTGAACAAAGGAGGTACAGAGGGTTTGCTATTGTTAAGTACGCTCTTGCAGAGACGCCAATAATCCTTGGAGCTGAATTTGCAAGATGCAATACGTTATTTCATTTGAGCAGCAAATAGTGACTTTGCTTCATTAAGGACACGCTTACACTCATTACGGGCAGAGACAAAGAGACGTCTATTGCAATCAGACATGTCTCTACAATAAAGGTGGAAAAGGTGATTTCTATGAGCAATGGCAGCTGAACATGCAGTGGAGAACCAGGGGGAGGAGCGCGATTTGACCTTATATTTCCTTGAGGGGATGAAAGCCTCGATTCTAGCTTTAACCCAGGAGGAGACCTTGGAAGCACATTCTTGAATGGGGAGTGTGAAGACAACATCCCAGGGGGCATCGCGAAGGAAATCCCGGAACAAGTTCCAGTCTGCTCGTTGATAGCAGAATGAGGTTCTAGTGGTAGGAGGTTCTTTGCAGGGGGTGGAGTTGAAGGAGATGTTGACAGACACTACAGTGTGATTGGAGTTGCCAAGAGTGCAGAGCTGCGTGGTGATGGAACTGGGAATAAAGCTCATTTGATGATGGAGAATTTCTCATGTAACAGTTGTCCCTATTGGATTTCTGTTGGAATCAAACAAAAAAAGTTTTTGATTATTAAAATATATAATTGCTGGATTATTCAAATATTACCTGCTGTTTAAGTGATATTAAATTTACCTGTAATCCCTAAAGGTATTTCTAGTATTTTTTATTTCTGTATGGTATTATCATTTATATTATCTAAATTTCAATTCACTGTTATCTTATTTTTCGAAGGATTTTAAAACTTAGGTCATAATTTTTAAAGTAAGAAGCTATTATTTCTGTTTTGTTTTTTTTGTTCTTATTTCCATATTGTGAACTGTTATTAAAGTCTTATCTAGTCTTTGATATCTGACAGTATTGTGTCATTGTTAAAAGATTTTTGTAACAAGGATTTAATATATTCTTATGTAAGTTTTTCCGCAAGGATAATTATTATTGATGTTGTTACCAAACTGAAGCAATTTCATATTTTATATTAAATTCAGAATTGATGAACAGCATTCTCGTGTTGCCGCTCGACAAATGGACAGTTTCCTGTATGCTGTTCGGAAAATGATTTCTGATTCCTGTTTTGTGGTTTTACTCTACATGTCGTTTATCATTCTCTGGGATTTGACCAGCACAGTTATTTGGCTTTATGCAAAACGGTAAGAGCAATGCTTTGTCCTTGAATTGATTCATTAAAAGAAAAAAATTCTCTGAAATTTTTGTAAAAACTAACTCTACAATAACAATTGTGATTTAGATGATAAGTCTTTGCTCATTTCCATTTTAAAATGTCCAATTGTTCATATGAAACATTGAGCCTAACAACCAAATTCAAGATACACACAACAACCTTGAATACTTTATTCCCTCTAAACACACACACACACACACACACATGCACATATCCTAAAAATCACCCTTAAAAGTTGGGGATTGTCTTATACTACAATTCTAAAAAAAATTTAAATTTTGTGTGAAGTTTGCTGGTAGGCCAACCTTGGCCTCAGTGTGATAACCAATAATGTATATGAAAAGATTTACATTATCAAATAAATGGATAATAAAAGTAATAAAACCATTTTACCTTATATATTACTGGCATAACTTCATAATAAATTGCCTATTCAAAGAATAATTCCATCTCAATGAAATCAACTTGTATTCATGTAAACTCAGCTGAGAAAATGTAAACATTGAGTTATGATTACATTCACAGCAACCTTTATCTTTTGCTAAATTTTCAATAATCATCATGATATTAATAACATAATTACAGTAGTAATAACATTTATAATAATGTAATATTAATTTCTCATTAAAAATTCTTTATCATTTTTCTGTTAAATAATAATATAATTTAGGATTACATACAACCTTTATTTTTCAAATAAAAATCCCTTCACATTAGTTGCATTTAAAACTTTTAGTAAAAAACAGTATTTACAAGAAATCACATGAAGATAACATCATCTTTATATAATCAATAAACAGTTGTCTTATATGACAGGTATAGGATAAAATCATGAAAATTTGGTATATTTTTTGACCTCATCTTATCTAAAGGTTGCCTTATACACAGAAAAATATATATATATATATATATATATATATATATATATATATATTGTGAGTTTAATGACAGGTAATGTATTCACATTATGAACCTATCTAGTATGTATTATTAAAAGCTGTAAAACTACATTTGAGTTATTTTTTAGATGCATTATTCAAGTGGGAAAAGAAGTATATAATTGTAGTTGTTAGTGTTCTGAGAAGGGAAACGTTTTTAAAGTACACAGAGGATTTAATTCACTGTTATCTATTTATTTTCAGAGCTGGTTGGATCCGTCTGAGAGTTATTTGTGAAACAGATGAAAGACCAATGGTACGAGACAAGTGATGATGATACAAAGAAGTAAAAACAAAAATGACATTCATTTCTCCTCTCTGAATACCGTTTTAATATTTTCAGAAATAATGGGCCCCTATACAGCCAATTTGATTGTGAGAGGTGTCCTGTCTTTTAAAACAAAATGAAGCCAAAATTTTTTTTATGGCAGCCATATTTCTGGATTTGTTGGTAAAGATAGAAAATACCAACCTAAATCTTGTGAAGGAAATTTCATTAAATGGAGATGAAGAATGTGAAAAATAGCAAAATTATTTATAAGAGATTTCTTGTTGCCAGAAATAGTGATGGACAACAGAATACTGCCAAGCAAAATTTCATTGTGGTCTCTGAGGCCCAACAATGAAATATTTGCACCCTAAAAGGGGAAAATTATCAAAATAAAAAAAAAACACTGTTTATAATAAGAGAATAAAAGTTATAGTTTAAAATAAAAAAAAAAAATATTTACAGTATTAATAAGAACTTTTAGAAATTCTGAAATACAGTTTTCTGGCAACAGAAATTCACTGCTAAAACACAGAAAATCTCATTAACCGAAGAAAAATAGAGGTGAAAGAAGTATCTGGTAACATTTGAAAATATTGTAAAATATTCAACCCCAATAATAGCCAGAATATACTGGTGAATGAATTAGGAAAAGTTTTTGTGCAGAAATGATGAGCAGATCTATTCATTTCAAGACTTCAGGTCATATGTTAAAGGTTACTTACCTCAGCAATGGAAAAATGAAAATGGTTTAAAATAAAGAAAACACTTGCTGATGAACAAATATTTACAAACACAATGAACAGTTTAACATTTTGTATAACTTCCTTCACTAAACATGTATGTATATAAAGGGTGATGAAAAGCATGCTTGTAGGTAATCAATATTTGATTAACAAACAGATGTCAGAGTAGATTTTAATATTTTGATGTTTATTTACAGCATCTTCAGAACATTAAATTACTGATCATCTACAAGCATGGTTGGGGGATATCTTCATCTTTTATTTTAAAATTTATAATAGACCTATCTATATATATTCACACATAATGAATTATATATGTATGTCTATGTGCATATGCATGTATGTTTGTCTATGAATGAGTTTGTGTTCATTCATCTTTATACTCTCATATATATGTAGATGCATTATAGATCTACTGCATTCAGAACATTCAATTATTGTGTGTGTGATATGAATCTGTTTTTTTTTTACACAGGCAGAAATGAAGAGTAAGATGGATTCTTGCTGAAAAGAAAGCTAAATGGTGAAAAAACAACGAATACAACTAAATTATTCAAAATAAAATATAGTCAGCATATGTTATGAAAGATGTGTGTGTGTGTGTGTGAGAGAGAGAGAGAGAAAGAGAGCACATTTAAATAATTACAAATTATGTTGATATTCTTTTTAGGTTTATTTTTTTTTCTAGTAACTTTTTCTAGTAAATTTTTCTAGTAAATTTCTCTTCTATTTTTCTTAACACTTAGTCTTCATATTTGTCTTTCATGGATCAATATCTTTCAAACTATTTAATTCTATTCTTTTTTTGGTTCATATCTATTTTTGGAGGTAGCTAAATATTTTTCTGTTAATTTGTGATAATACTGATATATCTTTTTATTAAAATTGAATGCTTGATATAACATATTGATATTGAAAAATAATATTTCTGCAAGAAAATCTATTATTTATGCTTATATTATTTGAAAAGTTTTCAGTTGTTCTTTATAAATATATTTTTACTTAGATACCTATACACTTAACATCATCAATGCTTAGATTCATTTCAAGAAGATAGGCTCATATGCTATTCTTGTATTCAATATTTTTAATATTATTGCTATATATGTATGATGAGAGGTGTTAAACATTGATACTATGTTATTGAACTTCTTCATGGTGGATTTTTTTCTGACATAGCAAGAGTCTTTTTGACCAACACCTGTAATTTATATTTTGTGTATGATTGCAGAAATGTAAACCTTTCTATACATATATCTGTTTTCACACATACATATATATATATATATATATATATATATATATATATATATATATATATAGATATAGATATATAGATATATTTATACACATATAAATATTTGTTAATGTAAATATACAGGTGCTTAAGAGTATGTATAAATATATATGTATGCATATATATATATATATATATATATATATATATATATATACACACCAAAATTTACATGCCTGTTTTATATACATACACACACATACATGTATAATATATGCAGCTACAAATGCATGTATGTGTTTCTAAGTGTTGATTTTATAGGATTCTAATATTTTTTTATTCATCTTTGAATTTTTGTTTACACACTTTTACTTTACGCAATACTTTCCTCTTTGAAGTTGCCCCTCCTATCACTTTATATGTCAGTTCTGTTCCCAAAACACACCAACAAATTGATTTCTTTTATAGCTGCTCACACCCAACTTTCTGGTGTTTTATTTGTTCACATCTGCTCCATTTCTGCTCATACTCTACTGCCATTCTGCAAATGCCAGATCCTCTTTTACTCTTACCAAAATTCAATGAATGAGATTACAGTGGTGTTGTTCACATTTCACTTTTAGATACTGTGAAAAACAACACTTACTGAAAAAGAAAAGATTAAAAAGAAAGCCCAAATCCCAGAGTACCTCAATGATTAGCCTTGGCTAGTTACCAAGTGATCAGTAACCTATTCATAATATCTACTGATGCCACTTAGAACCAGTTGTGAGGTGCAGACTGTCCATCATTCAGTTTTCTATAATATATATAATTTGTAGATAAGCCTGCCAATTCAGTGTACAGGTTAACCCATTTTTGAAAGGGGTTTGACATGCATTTTTTTTTAGTCTAATAATTTTTTTTTATTTAAATTGTCTTTATGACCCACCAGGAAACTGTTTTTCTTTTATAATGTAATTTGTGGGAGATATGCTGTTTAAATGATTTAATCAACATATGTTCAGTGTTTCTTCCACAAATCTATTTCTCAAAATTATTCCATAAGATAAGTAGTTGTCATTAAAATCAATAAAATCATGTTATTATTATTATTATTATAATTATCATTAAATGAATGCTGATTATTATTTACCTTTGATTAGTAAATTATACTTTATCAATTTTATCAGAAAATGTAATGAATTTTAATGTAATTATTGATAATATAATCTCATTTGTATATTATTAAATTAATATATATTAAGAATAATATTTATTAAGTATTTATGTATTAATATTATAGAAACATGAACATTTATTACTCATTGTTATTTACAATACTATGAATAGTATACTAATTATTATTAAGTATCGACGGTTTTATTGTTCATACTTATATTGTTTGTATTGATAAGTAGTTCTGTATAGATATTTACTTTTGGAAATTGTTATAATTGATAGTTTTACTATTTACTATTGTTATAATTTTTTTATAATTTGGCTATATCACAAGAAAAATGATTATGCATTGTAACCAAAAAATGTTTTATTCTTCTCTTGTAATTATTTCCTCCTTCTAAACTTTTGAGTAATTTCTCTTGCACTCTTAATTTCTTAGAACTTTTCATAGACTGGTTGCAGTTCTAACTAGACTATGATTTTGTTCTACAACTTCAGATAAATCACTATAATTCTCATCAAATAAATTGGATTGTTCAAGGTCTTCAGTATTTTCAGCTCAAATTTGAACTAGCCTTTTAGAAAAAAATTAAAAAAAGATACTGTTTCCTGGTGGAGTCAATGAATTCACTGAATTGGCAAAGAATGAAATAAACCATTTTTCCATGTTGGTAACATTCTACTGAAGGAAAAATTAGTTTATCATTTTTTATGGTTCGTTCTTTTTTAAACAAAAAAAGAAAAGTTAACAAAGAAAAACAATCCTTGAAAAACTGAAAATCATCAGAAAAACAACACTTCTAAAAATGAAGAATTCAAAAAATACCATTGGTCATTGAAAGAACCGAACATACCAACAGGAAATTATCCATAGATAGACAAAAGGCAACACAAGTTTTGAAATAATAATCTAAATTAAAACAAAAACACCAAAGAGAAATGGTATATTTTCAGTATATCTATATGAATATGTATCCATCTCTTTCAACAATGATGTTCAAAAACAAATTCAAAACTATGTATCCAAGCATGTACCTATTATTACAGTAAGACTTAACAATTTTAGGTCATTACTGTTAATCCCTATCTTAAAAAGATACCCTGGGTTAGCACTGGTGTTAAAAGGGATTAAAACCACCCTAAAGAAATGATATTTTTTCTTTTTTGAATCCATGTTATCTAATTGTTTTTTTGTTTTTGTTTTTATAAAGGGTTACATTTAATTTAATTACATTTATCATATCCTTTCCTGCAACATTTTCTAACCTTCTGTACAGGAAAAGCCTATATAAAAAAAATAATAAAAGAGATTGTTATGAGGGGATGCTGAAAAGTGTTCAGCCTAAATCATTTCCCAAATCAGTATTTCAATAACACATCAGAACACTGGTTTTGGCAAGTGGGTCAGGTCAAGAACTTTTCACTATCCCCTTGTATATGTCACAGAAGTAAAACCAAACAAAAAACAGAAGTGAAACAGCCAATTTTTTTTTAATATTTTCAGAATTGAAAATATTGGCAGTCAGTACATTGACCACCATTGTTTGATATATATATTCACACACACACACACACATTCAAATCTGTGTAATTCAGTTTTGTTGTGTCAAATTCATAGATAATCATTTTTAAAGCTAAGATATCAGGTCAATATTTTACATATTAACCGTACTACATTTATTATTTATATTCTAATAAAATCTTCAAAAGCTAAGAGATTCTACTTAACATGTTGCTTACATCCAATTTATAAAGTAGCTATATAGATCAGGATTATGCACTTTGTTATATTTCTCTTTGTATTTTTCAAATCTGTTAATATTATCTGAAGGCATCCCAAAAAT